GAGCTGTACATAATTATCTCATCATACACATGACAAGTGTCCTCTTCATCCTGAAAGCGAGAGAGAGAGAGAGAGAAAGAGAGGGGTGGGGCATTGGGTAGAGTTTATTTGTTGAGTGAGTTGGTGCATATAGCCTAAATACTGCTGTCTAATTACGGCATGCAAAATCTTATTCAAACTATAAGCATCAACAATTATCCAATTCACCTGTGCAATGTCTACAGGATCTGATACTTCAGATGATGGAAATGCTAAGGGACACAAATTATAAACATAAACATAAACAAAATAATACTATTTTCATAACTACAGTATGATATGTAGGTAGGCTATCAAAGAGAGAGGATTTGGTCTTACTCAGTGAGCGTGACATTGATTGTTTTCTGAGGAGTAGACCAAGTGCAACCACAGTGCAACACATCAATGGTCCAAGGACAGCTCCCACAACAACGTGGACACGTACAAAACCTAAATTACAGTGAGAATAATTAAACAAAATCAAACCCATGTTTTCCAGTGTGTTTGGAACAAAACAGAGTAGCCTAAAGTTCAGGAAGAGGGGTCCAGAGAAGTCGGATCCACAGCCACTCCGAATGTTAAATTACCTGGGCTACCAATCCGAATCGTTGAGGTTGTTGGAGGTGTGACATCCCAATCTGCAACAGGTAACTTTTTGTATGGCACCTTTAACATGAGCAAAACAAAAGTATACAGAAAATACAGTGCCTTGCAAAAGTATTCATCCCCCTTGGCATTTTTCCTATTTTGTTGCATTACAACCTGTAATTAAAAGTGATTTCATGTAATGGACATACACAAAATAGTCCAAATTGGTGAAGTGAAATGAAAAAAATTACTTTATAAAAAGTTAATAACGGAAAAGTGGAGCATGCATCTGTATTCACCCCCTTTGCTATGAAGCCCCTAATTAAGATCTGGTGCAACCAATTACCTTCAGAAGTCATTGCATTTAAGATATATTGTGTGCAATCTAAGTGTCACATGATCTGTCACATGATCTCAGTATATATGCACCTGTTCTGAAAGGCCCCAGAGTCTGCAACACCACTAAGCAAGGGGCACCACCAAGCAAGCGGCACCATGAAGACCAAGGAGCTCTCCAAACAGGTCAGGGACAAAGTTGTGGAGAAGTACAGATCAGGGTTGGGTTATAAAAAAATATCCGAAATGTTCAACATCCCACAGAGCACCATTAAATCCATTATAAAATTTTTTGAAAGAATATGGCACCACAACAAACCTGCCAAGAGAGGGCCGCCACAACAAACCAGGCAAGGAGAGCATTAATCAGAGAGGCAACAAAGAGACCAAGGATAACCCTGAAGGAGCTGCAAAGCTCCACAGCGGAGATTGGAGTATTTGTCCATAGGACCACTTTAAGCCGTACACTCCACAGAGCTGGGCTTTACGGAAGAGTGGCCAGAAAAAAGCCATTGCTTAAAGAAAAAAATAAGCAAACACGTTTGGTGTTCGCCAAAAAGCATGTGGGAGACTCCCCAAACATATGGAAGAAGGTACTCTGGTCAGATGAGACTAAAATTGAGCTTTTTGGCCATCAAGGAAAACGCTATGTCTGGCGCAAACCCAACACCTCTCATCACCCCGAGAACACCATCCCTACAGTGAAGCATGGTGGTGGCAGCATCATGCTCTGGGGACGTTTTTCATCATCAAGGACTGGGAAACTGGTCCGAATTGAAGGAATGATGGAGGGCGCTAAATACAGGGAAATTCTTGAGGGAAACCTGTTTCAGTCTTCCAGAGATTTGAGACTGAGACAGAGGTTCACCTTCCAGCAGGACAATGACCCTAAGCATACTGCTAAAGCAACACTCGAGTGGTTTAAGGGGAAACATTGAAATGTCTTGGAATGGTCTAGTCAAAGCCCAGACCTCAATCCAATTGAGAATCTGTGGTATGACTTAAAGATTGCTGTACACCAGCGGAACCCATCCAACTTGAAGGAGCTGGAGCAGTTCTGCCTTGAAAAATGGGCAAAAATCCCAGTGGCTAGATGTGCCAAGCTTATAGAGACATACTCCAAGAGACTTGCAGCTGTAATTGCTGCAATAGGTGGCTCTACAAAGTATTGTCTTTATGGGGGTGAATAGTTATGCACGCTCAAGTTTTCAGTTTTTTTGTGTTATTTCTTGTTTGTTTCACATCAAAAAATATTTTGCATCTTCAAAGTGGTAGGCATGTTGTGTAAATCAAATGATACAACCCCCCCCAAAATCCATTTTAATTCCAGGTTGTAAGGCAACAAAATAGGAAAAATGCCAAGGGGGGTGAATACTTTCGCAAGCCACTGTATATAGAAGATTTATTCGAATATTCAAAAAATTATTTTACAATAGGAGCTTCTTAGGAGCTTATTTTTTTAAGCTAGTCAAAGTTATATCAACCTGTGTAAAGGTGGGGACCTCTGAGGAAACATATCTGTTAGTTTCAGTGGTGTCCATCCTGTCAATCACAGGGGCAGGTGTAGACAGTGAAGTGACCAATGGAGCTGTGGGTACACATAGTAGATGGTAGACCAGGTAAGATTTTTGTGCATTCAAAGACAATCAAAAGGGAGATCAAAGCAAAATAATATGCATACCTTTACTCACAGAGACCTCTACTTTTGTTAAAACATCTCTTCCCCACTTATCAAGTCCACAATAATAATGTCCAGAGTCCTGTAATTCCAGGTTTTGGATGGTGACAATGAAAGTACATCCATGGACATTGTCATACACTGAAAATCTTCCTACTGGGACAAATGTGTCACGCTTCACACTTCTGATGAGAATGTCACTGTTGGAACAGGGATGGCGACACAAGTATTTGGTTTTATATTGATATCCATCTGGATATGAACACTCAATGTCTAAAGCTCCACCTTCATATCCATGTGCTCCAATTTTGCTCATTTTTGCATCACAGCATAAAACTTGAAGAAATAGAAAAACAATGTTATTTTTTATCGTTATAAAAACAAATAGTTGAAACATGAAATAAACAATTAAAACGTAAAATAGTTTGGCAGGGGTTTATTCTATAAAATTTGCAGTATGCAGTGTTCTCTTTCACAAATAAAATAATCAACAACACAAAATATTTCTGCAATTGTAATCAACAACAACAACAAATCAACAACAACACAAAGTGTCTGCAATTGTATCAGAGTGTTAAAAACTCACCTGGCAAGTAAAGGAGAAACCTCAGATAGATTTTCATGTTTTGATTTGTAAAATAATTTCACCACGTGAGGACAGACCCCCTTTTCTCCCGAATGCTCTGACTGTCACCATATCAGTCTCCATTGACCAGCATCATTTACAGTGGCTCAGAGCTGTTTTTGTCTTACTACAGGATGTGAAAAATATAAACTGATTGCAACATTTCAGGAAGGAAGTGCTACAGACAGGTGCTACTTTTGTTGAATCAAAAGCCTTTATGAGGCGGATGTAGATATCTAAAACAGACGGAATATTCCCCAATTGTTCATCTGGAGGAATTAAATTACCTGGTTATTAGCTATCGGATGCATTCTTGAAACCAGACATATTAATATATTTTGCTTGGTTCTGTAAATACATTTCAGAATTGTATTGGTATATTTTCATGACATAAAACATCTGTATGGTACAGTATGTACACCTCATGAGTGAATTCTAAACACAACATTCTCAAAACCTTCTCAAAAGGTCCTTGCTATCCGGGAGCTTTGCTATTCCAACTTTGACGTTACCCCATTGAAGTTGAAATTTAAAATGCTTAAGGTAAGGGTTAAGGTTAGGGTTAGGATAAGGGTAAAGGTTAAGGTTAGAGTTAGGATTTAGGGTAGGGACGGGATGTCCCAAGGATCCCAGATAGCACTAACCATTCTCAAAATATATTCCCTTCCCTCTCAGGACACAATCCATCACAGTGAAATGCTTGCAAAGTTCAAGGGGTCACCTGCCAGCTCTAGGGAAGTGCCTCATACATGCATGTTGTAAGCAGCTGGTATCCCTATGGACAACTAACAGAGATTGACTGCTGTTATATTACACATTGACCAGATTATGAACCCACACGCACTTCATATACGAGTTGTGTGTTCAATACTAGCTACAGTATGTGTTTGGTTAAATGTTTAATTACATAATTTGACAGTGACACTGGAAAATTGTCTTTAAATAAACATCAAACAAATGCCCTTGTTCATTGCGCTTATGGCCACATAACCGTCGAAAATAAGAAAATACGGCAACTTGCAATGTGTAAGCATTTCCTTCCAGTTGTTCTTCCCCTTCTTACTTTTCTCATTCCGCCGTGCACCTCCCCCATTCTCCCCACCCCTTAGCCAGACAAAGCCTCACATGAAAGAGCAGGACATCCAACTGGCCATCATCCAGTAATTAAAAAGAACAGAGGAGTTATTCTTACGTCATACTGTATCTTCAATGCAATGACCAAATATGGGCATCTCAGGAGAACAGGAGGGAGAGATTCAACTGAGGGAGACTGAAGTCAGCAGGCAATGTAGCCTAAGGTGGCTTCACTTGTATGATTACAAACCACCATAACCACCTTCTGGCTCGAAGTACAAACTGGATCAGATATCTCTCCATATCTCAGCAGCAACAACAGAGGCAGGGCTTCACCCCGGTCTACTACTGTAAAACAAATGCTGTTCTGTTTCTGTATCAAGTCCAACCTCTTCTTGCTGTCATCCCCGCCCGTTACTGAAGCAGCTTTGGAACATCAACCTGCCAGAGAGTAAAAGATTTAGATTCGATTTATTTACCAATACGCTATATTCTTCCTGACTGTCATTTCAAGGGAAATGCTGGCTTTATATAGATGTTACAGTAATTTACAGTCTACAGATGTAATCAAAATTCCTGTCATTCCTCATACTATTAGATGCTCACCACATTAATCACATTGTATTGATATTATTAGCATGCTGCTTTCACAAACAACTTCTACTCCTCTCCTGTTCTAACCTTTTTTAGAGCTTTCATTGTGCTGTTGCGAATGGAGTCCAGCAACTGGTCCCTAGTGTTCCTCTCTCCATGGCGTGAAGTCTGCCTGTTGAGTTTCCTCTGTGAGGCAGGCATGAGGGCTTTCCTTAGGCCTTCTAACACTGGGGCAGGGGGAGGAGGTGGTGGTGCTGGTCCAGATCGGCCAGCCTTAAGAGCCTGAGGTGGAGGTGGTGTAGACCCAGGACCAGATACACCATCCCCAGCCTTAGGTGGAGGTGTTGTAGACCCTGGTCCAGACCTACCACCCCAAGCCTTAGGGTTTAGCTTACCCACAGCCTTGGGGCTCGCTTTGTCCCCAGCTTTGGGGCTCACATTGTGGAACGGTTCAGGTGAGGGATTAGGGGGGGACAAAAAGGGGGATGTTTTCAGGAGGTTTCCTGTCCTGTTAGTCTCACCAACAGACTTGGGTTGGGGTTGAGTTGAAGGTTCACGAGAAAACTTCCCCAAAGGCAATGTGTTCTTTTTTGTGTTGGTCTGTGGTTGTGGTGTCTGACGTGATGGCTGGAATGGCTGAGGCTGCTGGGATGGCTGGGCTTGCTGCTGTGCCTGTTTCTTCTCCTCCAGTCGACGTTGCCGCTGCAGGTCCATGTTCCGACTCAGGATGTTGGTCATGGTCATTCTTGGGCCGGCCAGCTCAAAGACGTAGCCCAGCTTCAGCAACCTGGTGTTGTTTCTCAATGCATTGGCCATTTCCATCTCTGTCTTGCCTCCACAGATGTGTCGCTGGTTGTGGAAGCGCAGTTCAGTGACTGTAAAATTTTTATCTAAGGCGTGTACCACGGCCAAAATTCCCTTGCCAGTGAGGTGGTTGGAGTCAAGGATGACGTTAGTCAGAGACGTGTTGTTCCGCAGAGTGCCAGCAATGGCATAAGCCACGTGGTCGTCAGCTCGGGTGTTGGCTAAAGCAAACGTCTTGACATGTGTGTTGTGTTGTAGTGCCTCTGCAAACTGGATGAGGGTGTGGTTCTTGATGACGTCTGAGTTGTTGACATTGAGCTCAGTCATTAAAGGGTCGTCTTTTCTGACATGCTCAAGGAGCTCATCAAACATGCTGGCCTCCTCGTCCTCCTCGTCTCCCTCCATGACTTCACCAGCCGAGCGTTCTTCCCTACTACTGTTCTCTAGGTTTACATTGCTGGCTTTACTGTATTTATTAGGAGTCCTTTCTGTCTTCTTTTGACTGTCTCTCTGTGTCTCATCCTGGACTCTACTTGGTTTCCTGTGTGATTTGGTGTTTTCGCTCTCTTTGTCCTTCTCATTATTCCTCTTTTCCTTAATCTCAATACCTCTGAGTTCTTTCTGTTTTTCCTCTACTTTAGAGAACATTCCTCTTATCTTGCTATCCTTCATTTGTGGAGGTTTCTCTTTCTTCTCTTTCTCCTTAGTATCGTCTTTCTCAGCTTGCCCTTGAAGCTTTGAAATCAGACCCTTGGTTTTAGAGTCTGTCTTTTTTCTGATATCTTTTTTCTCCTTTTCTTTTGTATCCTCTTTTTTTGTTTGCAATTTTGAGATAAGGTCAAGTGTTTTGTTGCTACCCTTCTCTTTTTTTATGCACTCCTCCTTTTTCTCCTTTTCTTCAACCTGTACTTCACTGCTTTTTTCAACAATCGTATCTTCCTTTTTTTCATGGTCTTTGTCCTCATCTCCTCCTGACCTACTATGTGGTCTTTCCTTATTACCCTCTCCACTCCCTCCCTCACCCTTCAAGTTTTTGCTCTGAGGTTTTTCCTCTTTGTCCTTGGATATGTCCTCCTTAGGGGTCTCCACAGCAGAGAAGTTTAGGTCCATGACATCCTGGTCATCCTGGTCATCTGACTTGAAGTAGAAGAAACTATCACAGCTCTTCCCCATCTTCTTCAGGCGTTCCCGTTTCACTCTGTCAGTTGTTGGCTCCTTCAGTATGAGGAACATAAGAAAAGATAGTTGCATTTATCATACAAGCCCACATGAAAAAATACTATAGTATACTATGGTATAAATAGTATAGTATTCACTGTAGTGTTTTTGCGGACTTTACTGTAGTATTCACAGACTTAAGCCTGCAAAAACACTTTTGAATACTGTAGTATTTACTGTAGTATTTACAGTTAACTTTAGTATAAATACTGTTGTAAAATAACTGTAGTATATACTATAGTAATTAATGTAGCGTTTTTGTGGATTGTAGTACACAGTAGCATTTACTGTAGTGTTTTGCAGACTGTACTATACTGTAGTATTTACTGTAGTGTTTTTTGTGGACATTACTGTAGTATTTACTATAGTGTTTTTGTTTTATTATCTTTGACATAGAAGTGGAAGCTTTGTACTTCAGGAGACCTACTGGATAAATACTTTTCCATAATCTGTAGGTAGGACTGGGGTCTGAACAGATAGTTAGAGCTTCTGCTCTTTTCTATAACCTGTAGGGACACAATTTATAGTCTATACTTGGCATATAGATTTTGCCACTTATGGGTGGAACAAATTGCAATATGGGGGAGGGGAATGGGTATATGCTAATTAAATACTGAAGTATTTACTATAGTTTAAAAAGTGTAGTGTTTTTGTGGACATTACTGTAGTATTGAGTACAGTGTTTTTTTGCGGATAATACTGTAGTATTTACAACATTCTATTGTACGCACTACAAATGATCGAGGGATACTACAGTGTGTAGTATAGTATTCTGTAGTATACTACAAATGTTATAGTAAAAAATTCACAATCGAGGGAAGGAAAGGGAAAGGGGGATACCTAGTCAGTTGTACAACTGAATGCATTCAACTGAAATGTGTCTTCCGCATTTAACCCAACCCCTCTGAATCACTAGTGTGTAGTCTAGTATTCTACAGTATACTACAGTTTACTACAGTGCTGTAGTATTCTATAGTAAACTGTAGTATTTTTTCATGTGGGAGTATGAAGTGCAGTATTAGATTAATTATTTAATAAACAATGTAACATGTACTGTATGTATGTTTTTGTCAGTTTGGAAATATTTTCAGAATGCATCTGGAATGTTTATGTCTGTTACAGCCTACGTAAAACCGATGGAACATTGCCTCTACGAGCACCCTCTGTTTGTTTGGTAAAATTGTATATCTTGCATATAGCAATCAGGGTTTTTGCATCCCTTACAGGCTGAAGCGTCTGTAGGGATCTGCAAGCCACTGTGTAAGTAACTCTGGCAGATGTTTCCTTAAAAGGCAGTATGGGTCAGAGCGAGAGGAGCGTTCTGCTCTGGAATTTCATTTGTCTTAGAACTGGAACCAGCATGCCAGCATTAGCAAGACTCATTATTCTATGAGCCTGTCTCTTACCCTTTTCACCAAAACCAGATCTCAAGGGGCTTTGTGAAAACAACATACAGAATGTCTACACCAAACACCCAACAGATGGCCATGTACAGCTTTGCAGGAAGGATCATTTAGTATTAATAACCAATTATGTACTAGTCTAGTTAACATTTGAATACAGTTAGAATCACATATCCTGCTATTTATACATGGTATGGTATAGTGGTCAATATATTTGTCAATGAAATGCATTTAGATTCAATGTAAAATCAATTACATGCACTCAACATAATTGTATTCCCTCAAATACACACTCTGACTCAAAATCCAACCATGGTATGTTATTCATTTATCACATAACACCTGCATCACATTACTTGTTGCCAAGTAATGATAACACTTCTCCTAGTCTTGTTTGTGTATTGAAAAACTATTCTCAAGATGATGTAGTGCCTTTTTTATTCAGGGCTCCAGGGGCTCATTTGTTTATAATAAAAATGGCACTGCTTAGCAACTCTTCAGTGATGATCTTGCCTGTTCAAACGGGGTCTTCCGTACCTCTGCTCTGGATCCGTTTCAAACAACAAGACATCTCATTAGAGTCTCTATACACGGCTGTTTCAACATGGCTCATGTTTCCTTACTTGCCAGCTGTTGGAGCCTATATCCAACAGCTGAGTGCCAACATACATTAACAGATAAACTCAGTGTCTAAGCTTCTCTTTATTATCATTAGGATATATCACTGTGGCATCTGAACAAATAAACTCTATGAAATAGTGGTATTGTCATAGTCAAGATCTGAGCCCTGTGTGATATCAACTCATATTTACTTTCATGAAAGAACAACCTATATAGGTTAACACCCTGATCATTACAGCTTGTACATGATCATACATCTGTCTGTATCCCCACTTTCTGTCAAACTCCATACAATGACTATTTATTTATTTCCAGAAGAGACAGCAGTTATATTTTAAGTTAGTGGGTGAAACATTGCCCACAATAGTATATTCATCTGCCTGATAACCCCCATCATCCCTGGTGTTGAATCCTGAAATCACTGCACCATGTCTGGGCACTTGAATAAACGGTCAAATTGGCACTTGAAGTACTCGATTGACAGCTACATCTAGGCTACACTATTCCTACTGTAATAACACCACTTCAGGGTTCAACCAGCAAGAAACTCCTACCGCATTTTTTTCTTGGTTAGAAACTGCCCTTTATGCACAGTTAACAATGACATTGGCAGAAACAGTGTCATCATACCTCAAAGGACAGCTCCCTTTGAATTAGTTTCTTGGTTTCGCGCTCACAGTAGTCAAGCATCGCCCCCCTATTGTATTTTATTGACGGCTGCTTGTCTGTCTGGTTCTTCTGCCGGAGCCCGACTGGCACAGTTGGATCCGGGTCAATAACGGTCAGTTCGCTCTTCAGCTCTTCCACCTCGGCGGGTGTCAGAGCGGCTAACAGGTTGTCAATATCGGAGTCCTCCTCGCTCTCGGCGGGGCGTTGATTCCGCACTTTCCTCCTAGACATTATTTCCCACGAAAATGTCCTGTTGCGCAAATCGATTAGTAATTGGCACTGCTGGTCTCCAAAATACCGTTGACAATAATAGTTGTATTATATTGGTACACCAAGTTCAGGTTCATTGACCTCACCAGTATCTATTTGAAATGGGCTTCTAGTGCAATTGAAATAGTTTGGACCAAGAGAGGGTACTGGCCTATCAGACTGCCTGGACCGCCTCTCAGAAGAACTGTTTAGCTCAATGCCCAATTTGAGATCAGAGCACTGGAGCTGGACTGGAGCCATATGACAAGGAAAAATGAAAATTGACAGCTATTAATCATCTCTATTCTGTATGGTGCTATTATAAGAATTATTGTACATGATGTCATCAAGAGAGAATTATACTTTTGTAGCCTATTATGTCCATGCAAATTTAATTCAGATTCTTTAATCAGATTGACTAACACCAAGTACCCTCATGCATTCATCATGTAATAAGCCTGCTTATAGGAGTTGTACTACACACTATAGTGTTGATATGAGGACATCTAGTGGACCAAATGAAAATATGAAAACCGTCCCTTTGCTATTAGAACAAAATGTTTTTATTCCACAATAAAAACTGCAATGTCAAACTACCCCTCTCCCTTCCTTCCCAAAGTAACCCACCCAAGCACATATGTGGCAGTCGATACAGTTCCTTCTGTCTGCTACATTGCTAGTCCACAACTGTAACTTACCTCACAGCATATACACTTTGTTTCTGTACATCAAACCATTGCTAAAAGCACCAACACATAGTTCAGAGGAGATCAAGCCATTGAAATCAATTCAGACAAACATTATTCCTCAGATAAATAAAACAGTCTACCAAAAATGTATGATTAATTATATTATTCAGATGCATGTACTAAGCACTGGGTTTCCTGAAAAAAAGTTATCTACTACATTATTCGTATTTTTTTAAGGGGGAATGGGGAGGAGGGGACCTTAACCCACATCCTCTGCATCTCTGGTTTTGCATGCAAGGAAGTTCCATGTACAATATACTGTATTATAAATTGGGAAGTTTGGGTCCTGGATGCTGATTGGCTGAGAGCCGTGGTATATCAGACAATATACCACTGGTATATCAGACAATATACCACTGGTATATCAGACAATATACCACTGGTATGACACAAAATTACTTGTTTTCTGTTCTAGCTAATTACGTTGGTAACCAGTTTATAATAGCAATAAGACACCTCGGGGGTTTGTGGTAATACCATGGCTAAGAGCTGTATACAGGCACTCCACGTTGCGTCATGCTTAAGAACAGCCCTTAGCCATTGTATATTGGCCATATACCACACCCCCTTTGATTTTTACAGGGTAACTTATTGTTTGACTCCTTTTACACCAACCAATGCAATGGAAACCCATGCAGCACACTGACTCCACATTCTGTAACAACCACAAACAGATCAAAGGAGGAAAGAAAAATATGTAAAAATACAAAAAAGTAACCAAACAGTATAGTTCTGGACAACAACTCAATAAAGAGCAGATAGCACCGTTGTTACAAAGGGGATGAGGACAAGGAGGGCTGGGTTGGGGGGGTATGAGGGCAGGGTCTGTGACACATCCTGACTTGTGTGACTGACTTGCTAACGGAGTAAGCCGAAAACTGGCAGACTTCCAGCTTTCCATCCAAAACTCTCCATCCAGTCTCTCCTCACTTCCTCAGCGGCCATCGCTTATTGTACATTTGTCACACACATAGTCGTCTTTCTCAGCCAGCTCGGCTGTCACACCCACACAGACCTGGTGGAACCACTGGTTACAGCTGCCATCACACTGGACCCAGTCCACCTGAAATAAATCAAAAGGCCAAATAAATAAATGCCAAATAAATCTAGAATAAAATCTAACCCAATTGACATAAGCCAGACAAGGACCTGAACATTCAGTACATTTTACAATCTCTTCTACAAACAAACTGCTAAGAATTCTTTCCCTCTCTTTTATTTAAACTCCAACACTCTACCAGTCAGTCAATAAGGTTGTCAGTTAATAAAGTATTGCTTATCTTATTTTATATTTTCTTATTATGTTATGTTGTCAGTGAGTGATTTATCAAAAAAGTGATACTGACCTCATCTCCTTCAGGTTGCTGGCATCCCTCTGCTGGACACATCTCCTCTTCAGAGTCGTCTGACTGGGAGAAGTCGGAGCGAGGAGACGAGGAGGTCGATGCCGCCTTGCGTTCCAGGCTCTTCTCTTTGTTCATTTTCTGTCTCTTGTTCTGGAACTTCTTGGCCTTGTCCCGGAACTTCTTGGCCTTGTCCCTGCGCTCTGGCTCTACAGCCTCTCTCTCCAGGCGTCGCTTGGCCTTCTCTGCTCCGTTCACTACTTCCTTTTTCAGCCCATCCTGAAGAGATTGAAAACATAACATCTTAAACTAAGTAAACTGTATTTCTTATTTTCAACAGTCGTGATACCGTAACAGTAATAAACCAATGCTTTTATGGGTCAATCATACAAATAATTGAATTAAATGTATTTGATAGCTAGCATGCTCACAAACCTCCTTTTGTGGAGAGCTTCTTCCCTGAGAGTTGCACTGCTTGAGTTTGTCACAGTCTGAGAGGTCGTCATCTTGCGGTGACGTGCGTCCGTTGGTGTGATGCGTTCTCAGCCCGTTCAGTAACACATGGTAGAGCTGTGTGATCTCTGGAAGAGACACCTGCAGCAGGAGCCCTTCCACCATCAGCTCCTCCAGCTCCACACTAAGATCTGCAGCAGCACAGCACATGCCAGGTTGTTAGTGTAAAAGAGAATGGGTTCAACCTACTGTAGCTGCTTAAATAACATCAGTAGTCATCAGTAGAGTGCATTTCAAATACTAAATTAATTAGCTAATCAATAAAATAATGTTATCAAGAAGTCCAGTTGGTGATAAGAATTGCAAATGATTCTACAACAATGCTTTATACCGCAGAACTGACCCTGCAGAGGAATGCATCTTTGCTCGGTGTAGAAGACCATCTGATCATGAGTTGTCCTGTTCCACTCTGGAGATAAACATGTTGGCTGTATAAAAAAATAAAAATAATAATCTGGTCATTTAGCATTATAATTGTCTCTTAATTCTGAATTATATCACTTTAAAATGGATAGATAACTCTACAATTCAGAAGAGGTGTATGACCGACTGACCTTTCCATTCGGAGATGGTGGAGTTGCAAAGCTCTCCTCCAGGTCTGGTAGACCACAGGAGGAAGAGACCTGTCGCGCACGCTGTTGCCAGCTGACTGTTCTCTCAACCAAATAGTGAAGCGCATCGCCTTCCGGCAGACGCACCTGGATACGCTGCAGCGAAGCCAGCAAGGGCAGGACCTTGTCCAGGGGGGGCTTCTCCGAGCGTCGGCAGTGCGGGCACAGCCAGGCCTGGGCTGAACGGGAGTCTGAGGGAGCCCTCACACACACGCTGTGGAAGGCGTCCCGGCAGAGCTCACACTGTAACATGGCTCCCATGGGGGGATTCTGACACACACACACCTTCAGGTCCATGCAGTCTGCCGTGGGGAGGAGCTTGGACTCGTTAGCTGCCCGGAGGGAGGAGAGGGCCCCCATCTCCCGTAACCTCACCTCCCCAAGTGTTGCCAGCTAGTAAAGAAATGTAAAAATGTTTAAATTAATATAATTTAATGCAAGTTCATGTCCAACATGCATTGAGGTACAGTACATATCCAGTACTATAGTACTAGAAAGAAGTAGAGAAAGAGAAGGTCTGTACTCTTTAAATTGAGTAAAAAATAAAATAAAATGTATTCAGTTGAGAAATGGCCAGTGTAGGTGGACTTACAGCAGAGGCAGAGTCCTTGGTCTCTGAGAGGGCTTTTTCCACATCACTGAGACAGTCTAGCTTCACCATCTTCTTCTTGCTGTGCTGAGTGATATCTTTACCTTTTTTAGACTTCCTTTTCGGAGAACCTGCTCCAACTTCACATCTTGGACACAGAACCTGTGGACAAGAACAAATTATGAATTCTGGTGACTGCATTTCTGGGAAATAAACTGCTGTATACTGTACATCACTCATGGCACTTTCAGAGAGTGGTGCATTACAACCATTAGAACATTACCTCAAGCAGAGTGAAGTGAGAGTTTTTCATGAGGAAAGTTTTAGCTGCAGACTCTTTCCAGGCCTGCACCTCTGCCACCAGTGACTCCAGCTGCTTTAGAGGGCCAAGCTGGACTGGGATGTCTTGTCCTCGAAGAACCATATCAGAGAGGTTGTAAAACAATGGAATGGAATCTTCATCCTGAAAGAGTACACAGAATTCAAGTTTTCTATACATAAAGTTGACACATTATAACATGTCAAAGTAGAAGCATTGTTTCTATGAAAATCATGTATAAAAATAATATTATTCAACTGACATGACATCTGTGTGAAAACGTGTTTTATTCTTCCGTACCTGAAGTGCCTCAGCTTCCTGAAGCCACTCTCTGGCCCTACTGATGGAGACCTTCAGCATCAGACAGTTGGGGAGGTAAGCAGGGATCCCCGCCACCTTCTCAGCGGTTTCAGAGAGAGCTTCTATAGAGAGGGGGGGCCTGGTGGAGTAGAAAACACAACAGTTAGGTCAGAAGACTGGTCAGTCACCAGCATAAGGGGGCCCAGTTATCCGGCTGCCAGGAAGCCTAAAAATCCTATTCATCAATCTGTATGGACTATGGAGAGCTTTTCTCAGGTGTGTATTAATAATAAATGTATGCATGTACTATCATTATAATTTTTTTGGACAATTCCTAAGACACTTTTCACTTCACTTGTTGGACAATATGTTTCTACTCACTCTTTTACAAAGGTAAATTCAAGCTTCAAACCTTTGATATTTCTGATGTAAGCAGACATAACTGCTGTGATGGTTGTGAAGCATGCAACGTTTACCTCTGACCACTGATGGATCATTTAGTCGAAGTAGCTTCACATACAGGCAACTGACAAAATAATGGAAACACATGAGTAAATGAGGGTTACAAAGTATATTGAAAGCAGATGTTTCCACACAGGTGTGGTTCCTGAGTTAATTAAGCATCATGCTTAGGGTCATGTATATTATGCCCAGTTGCCCATTATTATTATTATTAATATTTTGGCTACCATGGCTAGAAGATACATCAGTGACTTTGAAAGAGGGGTCTCAAAGGAGCATAGGGGGTCTAAAGGGCGTGTGTGTGTGTGTGTGTGTGTGTGTGTCTCAGTCACCAGACCCAATCGAACACTGGAGCGGCGCCTGAGACAACATTTTTCACCCCCATCAACAAAAAAACAAATGATGGAATATCTCATGGAAGAATGGTGTCGCAACCCTCCAATAGAGTTCCAGATACTTGTAGAATCTCTGGCAAGGCGCATTGAAGCGGTTCTGGCGGCTCAACACCCTATTAAGACACTTTCTGTTGGTCTTTCCTTTATTTTGGCAGTTAGCCTACCTGTAGTTATCTATACTGTCCCCTTGCAACCATGATACACTTTGAAACCATTGCATAGGCTACATATACAGTTACCGTGATATGGGCTTTGCTCAATTCTATAATAAAGAAAATGTTGAACATACTGATAATAAAATAATAAAGAAACAAAACTATCCAGCCATCCTTGATGAGATAGAGAGAACAGTACTTCTCACCCTATTAAGCTCTAAAATGACAAATACATTTTTTATGAGATAGTTCACCCAAATTTCAAAATAACACATTGATTTCCTTAACCTGTAAGAAGTCTATGGATAAGGTATGACAGCAACAGTGTTAATTTCATCAACAATCACAAAAAATACTTGTCAATGACCTATTTTTCCCTGACTAAAACTGACGATAACGAGATGAGATGTCCTGGAAAAAAATGAACTATTACAAATTACTTTTCATTTTAGTTTATGAAAATGTGACGACGAGACAATAATTCCATGTGAGACTAATGGTCATTTAATTTGACAAAGCTCCTTTTCATCTGTTTTGTCCAATCCTAAGCATGCATGGAGTATATTTCCTGCAATCCTCTCATTGGCAGAATCTTTCAGTTGTGCAGTCTGATTGAGCTGATCTGCCCAGCTCTCCCACACAGCTCCCAGGCGGACACTTCAGTCACTCGTCAATCTTTTGAACTGATGCGAAGGCTTGACTTGTAACTAACCTCGACTAGAAACAATGTTTACTCTCGCTTATATTCACATAGGCTATTTTTGCTTTGATCACATCAGAAATGTACGCTGTTATTCATTCATCCATGTTGCCGTTCTTGTGCCGCAGTCCGCAAATGCGAGTTGCGGTTGCCTTTTTCCAATGTGAAAAAGGAATCCTATTTGTTGAATATTATGAGTATAGTAATACTACAGTATAGTACAGTAATACTACAGTATAGTACAGTAATACTACAGCATAGTACAGTAATACTACAGCATAGTACAGTAATGCTACAGCATAGTACAGTAATACTTCAGGCATTTTAGTAAAGCTCATTCTCCCCTTTTCAAGGAAATCACAGTTATTTACCCCCTTGACAGTTCTGATGGGGAGGAAACCAGTTATTTACCCCCTTGACAGTTCTGATGGGGAGGAAACCACAGTTATTTACCCCCTTGACAGTTCTGATGGGGAGGAAATCAGAGCTGTAAATTGTTTAACCTGTAGCCAAGGCTTTATAGCCTATATGGTTAATTATGGCTGGCATTGGTTATAATCTGACACAATATCAATGTTGCCAGCTAAGGTATAGGAGGGGTTAGCAGGCCTACTTGGCCAAGGCTATCTGAATGTGCACAAGATGGAAGTTAGAGGTAGCCTAAATATTCATAATTTAATAGAAAAAAATGCACTGACTATTAATGTGACAAAAATGTCTGACTAAAACTAGACTAAAATTGTCCAGAGTTTTAGACAACAAATAATAAACTAATGAAGGATGAAATGACTCAAAATGTGACTAAGACTAAAAAGGCATTTTAAGACTACAACTAAGACTAAATCTCCAGGTCTCCCCTTGGCCGTACCGAGCAGCACCATCTTGTAAAGAAATCCTGGGGAGAACACTGGAAACTAAACCAAAGCCGTCCATAGACTGCTTACAGAGTAAGGAAATCAATGTCCTTTTGTAATTTGGGTGAACTATCCCTTTAAAACTGGATTGAAAAAGACTCGAAGGTAAACCGTGGATATGTGGAGCGCACAGAATAGATGCACATTCCTTGGAGAGCCATGCCATTAAAAAGCTGTTTGAAAACGCTGGTGACAGTGGTTATTAAATAGCACTGGTACCAATGGGATGAAGCAGAACTAGATATGCATGCTCACTTTTTGTAGATCTTGTTGAATATTCTAGCAGCAGCATTTTGCACTAGCTGGAATTAAAATGAAGCAAAATCAGGGACACTGACATAGTTCTGCTAATGTACAAATCAGTAATCTAGTCACCAATGCTAATGTTTGTACATTAGTTAAAGCAAAACCTCACTAGCTTTAATGCAAGTGATAGAACCACATGGCTCATTTTGTAGAGAAAGTTCAGTCAAATTCAACACCCAGAGTTGAATCGCTTTGTGAGGACCATTTTTGTCAATTCAGGTCTAAATTATCCAGAATAACAAAAACCAGAAGACGACCTTAAACCATTTAAATCTGTTCACTTTAAAAAAGGTGCTACACACAGGATTTCTTTAGAATTTCTGCATTGTAATTTCAGAAAATGTCCATAGTATACAGTGGGGAGAACAAGTATTTGATACACTGCCGACTTTGCAGGTTTTCCTACTTACAAAGCATGTAGAGGTCTGTAATTTTTATCATAGGTACACTTCAACTGTGAGAGACGGAATCTAAAACAAAATCCAGAAAATCACATTGTATGATTTTTAAGTAATTCATTTGCATTTTATTGCATGACATAAGTATTTTATCACCTACCAACCAGTAAGAATTCTGGCTCTCACAGACCTGTTAGTTTTTCTTTAAGAATCCCTCCTGTTCTCCACTCATTACCTGTATTAACTGCATCTGTTTGAACTCGTTACCTGTATAAAAGACACCTGTCCACACACTAAATCAAACAGACTCCAACCTCTCCACAATGGCCAAGACCAGAGAGCTGTGTAAGGACATCAGGGATAAAATTGTAGACCTGCACAAGGCTGGGATGGGCTACAGGACAATAGGCAAGCAGCTTGGTGAGAAGGCAACAACTGTTGGCGCAATTATTAGAAAATGGAAGAAGTTCAAGATGACGGTCAATCACCCTTGGTCTGGGGCTCCATGCAAGATCTCACCTCGTGGGGCATCAATGATCATGAGGAAGGTGAGGGATCAGCCCAGAACTACACAGCAGGACCTGGTCAATGACCTGAAGAGAGCTGGGACCACAGTCTCAAAGAAAACCATTAGAAACACACTACGCCGTCATGGATTAAAATCCTGCAGCGCACGCAAGGTCCCCCTGCTCAAGCCAGCGCATGTCCAGGCCCGTCTGAAGTTTGCCAATGACCATCTGGATGATCCAGAGGAGGAATGGGAGAAGGTCATGTGGTCTGATGAGACAAAAATATAGCTTTTTGGTCTAAACTCCACTCGCCGTGTTTGGAGGAAGAAGAAGGATGAGTACAACCCCAAGAACACCATCCCAACCGTGAAGCATGGAGGTGGAAACATCATTCTTTGGGGATGCTTTTCTGCAAAGGGGACAGGACGACTGCACCGTATTGAGGGGAGGATGGATGGGGCCATGTATCGCGAGATCTTGGCCAACAACCTCCTTCCCTCAGTAAGAGCATTGAAGATGGGTCGTGGCTGGGTCTTCCAGCATGACAACGACCCGAAACACACAGCCAGGGCAACTAAGGAGTGGCTCTGTAAGAAGCATCTCAAGGTCCTGGAGTGGCCTAGCCAGTCTCCAGACCTGAACCCAATAGAAAATCTTTGGAGGGAGCTGAAAGTCCGTATTGCCCAGCGACAGCCCCGAAACCTGAAGGATCTGGAGAAGGTCTGTATGGAGGAGTGGGCCAAAATCCCTGCTGCAGTGTGTGCAAACCTGGTCAAGACCTACAGGAAACGTATGATCTCTGTAATTGCAAACAAAGGTTTCTGTACCAAATATTAAGTTCTGCTTTTCTGATGTATCAAATACTTATGTCATGCAATAAAATGCAAATTAATTACTTAAAAATCATACAATGTGATTTTCTGGATTTTTACACTTCAACCGTGAGATTCCGTCTCTCACGGTTGAAGTGTACCTATGATAAAAATTACAGACCGCTACATGCTTTGTAAGTAGGAAAACCTGCAAAATCGGCAGTGTATCAAATACTTGTTCTCCCCACAGTATCTGTCGCTATTAGTGGAATGACAGTGTTTCACAGTATTACTTACCCGCCAGTGTTGTGATTGGCAGTGATATTCGCCTATTTATTTATCCCGCTGGAGCGGCATCTGTTGTCAAACTCAATAACTGTAAGTCGCTCTGGATAAGAGCGTCTGCTAAATGACTAAAATGTAAATGTAAAATGAAAGCTGTTCAGACTTTGTGGCTGTGTTATCTAGTGGAAATAGCTATTTCCCTGGTTGCTAAAATTCTCCGGCAGGAGAAATCAATATGCGAATATCACAGCCAATCACAACACTGGTGGGTAATTAATACTGTGAAACACTATCATTCCACTATTAGCGCCAGATATATTATGGAGATTTTCTGAAATTACAATGCAATAATCTTTTTAAATCCTGTGTAGCACCTTTAACTACATTTAGGTCGGTCTTCTTTCAAATCAGATTCCAAAAAAAAAAAAAATGGAATCCCTGGTTTACAGATTACAGATTTAAAAAGAGAAACCCTCTGTGTGCGGCCCTCACCTGGCCTTGAGGAGGCTGCTGGTCTTGTCCTCCCAGTGTTCAGACACCGTGAGCAATTCCTGCAGGCGAGCCATGGCCTTCTCCACAGAGCGGTGAGGGGTCAGACCCACGCCCTGGTCTATCAGCCTCCGCATGGTCTCCAGGGTCAGGGTGGAGCGCTGGGTGCTGGCCTGCTGCACCCCCTCTAGCCAGCGGGCTTGCGCCAGTCTCTCCCGTAGTAATGGAAGTTCAGGGAGCTCCACGTCAAAGTCAAAGCTAATGTCTAGAAGACTCTGGATCTCTGCTGTGCCGGTGGTCTCGTCTGCCAGGAGCTTCTCACTGTGTTGCTGGAAGTCTTCAATGCAATTCAAGAGCTCCTAAGAGGAAAAAAAAATACAGAATTCAGATATCAGTTATGATCAAAATAACTATTGAGATTTGTTTTTTTCCAATATTCTCTGATCAATTGCTTCAAACAGAGGCCTCTTGATTATTGTTATCAATTCAGTTTTCTAATGGCTTCAATATCATGATGGCATTGAGACATTGGTTTACAATACCTTTAATTTGGGGGCTTGGGGGAGGCTGCAGGGGAGGTTGTACAGTTGCCTGACAAATGACCTCAGCTCCTCCACAGTCAGCTGGCTCTGTGTCTTCCCCCCACCACAGCGATACCTGGGAGAGGCAATCATGACAAACCTTGAATCATATTCAAATACGCACATGTCTTTATACATCATTGGTGAGCAAATTAGAATAACACTGTTGATTGAGGAATACAATATTAAAAGACACAGGCATAGTGGATCATGTTTGCGGCGAGGGAGGAAAATGAACCAGTGGTCCTCTTTTACTGGACTGTGGAAGTTACCTGGTCTGCCTTTTGCCGTTGAGTAGCTGCTGGGCAACTGAGGAGCATTTCTCTGCGTCCTGTGTGACTAAACGAAGCTGACGCAGGAGGTCGTTGTCAGGGAACATCTTCGACTCTGATTTATTGATGAGGGAGCGGAAGACTGACAAGCCTGAGGAGAGACGGTCACAATAATTAATTACACAGGCAAAGTGCTTTATAAACGAGAAGGGTGTGAGGCCTCATTCACAACTAATTGCAGTCTCTATGGGCCAGTTTCCAGGACCCATATTAAGCCTAATACTTCCCTAAAAAGCACTGCTAATGTACATAGACAAGGTGAATTCATCTCTCACTTTTTTTCTTGTCCAGTTTAGCCTCCAGAGTCTCTGTCACGTGGGAGGCCCACTCGTCATAGAACTCAGCTCGCTGCTTCACCGCGTTCATCATGGGGTACAGCTCATCCAGTGTAAATCTATAACTGCAAGCAGAGAAAGGAAAATAAATATATGTGGAGATTGAAGCCATATCGGTGTGAACAAGAGAACACTGTATATTTGAGGCATCCGATGAAACCAGAACCACATAAATGTCCTGCATGCGTGATTCCTTATTCTACATGTTTTCATAATATATCTCCATCTGAATGTTCCCCCTGCTGAATGTGCCCCCTGGACTTCAGTGTGTAGTTGTTGTGGACAACAGAACAGTATACAGATGTCGGATCTTAATATGAGCCATTTCGTTGCAGGATGGAAATAATCCTGCAGCAGGAGGATTTGAAAGGATATTTAATATTTAGAATCACCGCCAGGGGGAAGCTGGAAGCAGTGTTTGTATGCTATACAATAATTTAGACTGCAGGTCCACTGTTCGTCAGTTCAAGTAGCCTATGTAAGCTACATGCAGGCTACAGCGTGTCTCGTGTGAATTCTTATGTGGACTATAATAAATTGACAATATTTGTTGGTGTTGATGTGTTTTTTGATAATTTGTTTTATATGTTCTAGGCAAGAATTAGACAAAATAACTTAAATGTTTATTTCAGCACCTGTGTGGTCCAGTGGGTACAGCTGCTGACAATGGCACACATGTCAGAGTAGGCATGAGTTCGAATCTGGCCCACTACTGACCCACAGACAGAACTCTAGTTACTGTCTGTGGGCTGTACTTGTACTCTTACTCAAGTAATTTCTGATGGAAGTAACTTAATTTTTACTCCTTTGCATTTGACCAAATCACTAAAGTTACATAGATTTATATTATTATATCGTCGCTGTCGGATGAGCAACCTAACCAAAAAGGTTGTCCGCCGGTTATTGTCATGCAAAAGGTTGCCGGTGTCACAGTAATTGACCGTTAATTAACACACACACACACATTTAGCATCTCCAGGCCTCCACGCATACAAGCCGCATTCAAGCCGCTGATGCGTGCCTTTGGAACATCTACATTTTAAAAAGTCTAATAAATCAATTTAAATATACACCATCACAATAAATCCATTATTTATATGCATAGGAATAAGTGCTAATATGCATATGCAGGGTTCATACAGACAGTGGCAAGTCAAATTCAAGGACTTTCAAATACTTTTTCAAGCACAAATATTTATTTTCAAGGACCATCAATATGTAATAGTTCCTATTATACAATTGTTTATAGTCGCCACCAGATGGCAGTATATCACCATCACTCCCTTACAAGTTCTACTTAATAATAAGTTTCACTACTTATTTACTACATACATGAGTGGTAAGTCAGTACTGATGATGTTATAATTTGAGTAGTGATGAGTTTTGAGACATGCCTACTAGTGAACACACATTTTCTATTCACATTACTACACAATTCCCGCTTAATGACTGCATTGTATTTTTAGTGGGCATTTAGCAATCTACTAAATAGCTACGAAAAAGCGCCTTGCTTCCGACTGGCAGCTTTAATGTCGGTTGGGAGAGGGGCGAGTGGCTGTGTGAGGAAAACGGTATGTGAACGGCCACCAGAATGGCAGGACCACAGCTGCGGCTTGATCAAGCGGAATATCGCAGGCGCCCCTTGAATGAGGCAAAAAGCTCTGGAGAGAAAAAGTCACAATGTAGAACTGGCGCCAGCGCAGGATGCATCGTTGTGTCTTTCCCCCTTCAGGGCTGATTCATGCTCGCAATGTCAGTCTGACACATTTTTTGCACCTTACACAGTGTGGTTTGGTTGGGTCCAGTGATGTAGTGGTAAAAAATTAATTGGGTAAACTATACTGAACAAAAATATAAAACGCAACATGTAAAGTGCTGGTCCCATGTTTCATGAGCTGAAATAAAATATCCCAGGAATGTTCCATACGCACAAAAGGCAGGCTTGAATCTATATTTGCCTGATATTTTAGCTATCGATGTGACGTTTGGCGGCGCCTAATCAGTCAGTTCTGTACCTGCCTGGCTGAGTGGCAGTGTGGGTGGAATGAGCGAGCTCGCCTGGCAATCAGAGTGCGAAACACGTGAGAAAATTAAACTCGGCAGTCTGCCTGGAAATTAATAAGATCAATAAATATTTCTAATATTTTTCATATTAACATTTATCATTTTCTGTTCTCCTCTCATTTTAATTCAAGTACTTTTCAAGTACCAACAAGAAAATGTTTGATTATTAAGGTATTCCAGTCCTTAAATTTCAGAGTGCCAAATTTAAGTACTTTAAGCACCTCAAGCATCTTGTGCGAACCCTGCATATGGGTGTTTTGAATTAATCAATCACCCTAGAAAGTGCTGTCCATTTCGTTTTTTTAGGCTTTGAAACATCCACAACTACCATGTTTTCCACTTAGTTTCAACCTGTTGTTGAACTTCTTTTTCAAATTGATCAATCAAAGTGAGGTGAGTTTTAAAAGCAAGATACTGTTTTGATGAGAAGTGTTTGATGTGATTTTCGATTGCATTTGCATTGATGTCAGAGTGGTTAGAGGGACAATAGAGCCCTTGCAGGCCATTAGTGACCTGATGATCATTAGCGAGTTGGGTACTACCAATGCATGTCTGTCACGCCCTGATGTATGGAACTCTTGTTGGTTTAGTCAGGGTGTGGGAATCTATGTGATGTTTTCTATGTGTAGGATCTAGATTTGTTTTTCTATGTTTGGCCGGGTGGGATTCCCAATCAGAGGCAGCTGTCGCTCGTTGTCTCTGATTGGGGATCATACTTAAGTAGCCTGTTTGCCTACTATGTTTGTGGGATCTTGTTCCTGTGTTAGGCTTGTATTGTGTATAGCCTTGGACTTCACGTTACGTTGGTTTGTGTTTATAATAAATAAACATGTTCACATCGCACGCTGCACCTTGGTCTGACCCGTCTCTCTCAACGATCGTGACAATGTCCAGTGTATAAGAGGAGATTACTGTGACTCAACGATCACGTGGAAATTTACTGCGGTCATGACTCCCGCTAATACAGTCACTGCAACAGCCCTACCCCATTGCCCAATGAAATGTATTCAAAATAGCTTGTCATCAAAACGCTTATGTCCATTGGCTCAAAGTTGTCTGTCAAACCCAGTTATCTCCACCAAGCTCTTGAAGTGAAGCACACTTCACTCCTGATTATTTTTTTGTAAGTTGCACTTTAATTACCTTCTGCATTTGTAATATTATACAGTGTACAAAACATTAAGGACACCAGCCCTTTCCATGACAGACTGACCAGGTGAAAGCTATGATCCCTTATTGATGTCACTTGTTAAATCCACTTAAAATGGGTGTAGCTCAGGGGTGTCAAACTCATTCCATGGAGGACCGAGTGTCTGGGGTTTTAGTTTTTTCCTTTCAATTAAGACTTACACAACCAAGTGAGGGGAGTTCCTTACTAATTAGTGAACTTAATTAATCAATCAAGTACAAGGGAGGAGCGAAAACCCGCAGACACTCGGCCCTCCGTGGAATGAGTTTGACGTGGTGTAGATGAAGGGGAGGAGACAGGTTAAAGAACCCATAGCGGCCGACGACGGCCTTTCTTTTCTAACAATATTATCTGTGTCAATATCGCAAAATTAACTCGCTAACAACCTGTTGTCGTATTCGCGTGGATGCTGTCATTTGACTTTAACGTTTTTGTTTTACTTCATTACTCAAAATGAAAGCACCGAAGCAGACAACTTTTCACTGTGAAAGAGGCTTTATCTTTATATTGGTTGGTGATAGGGATTTGCACACATCATTGCACTTTGAAAGGCGATGATGGCGAGGTGAGTGAAATAAGTAAACAGCAGATACAGTGGGGAGAACAAGTATTTGATACACTGCCGATTTTGCAGGTTTTCCTACTTACAAAGCATGTAGAGGTCTGTAATTTTTTATCATAGGTACACTTCAACTGTGAGAGACGGAATCTAAAACAAAAATCCAGAAGTCCAACCATTCACCCTTGTACCCCACAGCCTGGGCCTAAAGTGACAGTGGCAGGGGTTTTGGAGTGGTTTTTAAAAGTGGTAGGAACATATCTGTTCCAGTGCTTGTAATGGATTACAACAAGAATATGGGCGGGGTTGACCATCTTGACCAACTGAGGAGCTATTACAATGTTGGACGCACAGGCAGAAAATTGTGAAAGTATGTGTTTTGGGGGATGCTCAACATTGCCATCATAAATACGTACATTGTGTGGGGGACCCTGCAAAGGCCCCTTCCCAGAAACCACAGGCCCTGGTCCCTGAAGGCATTCAAAATATGCAGCTTGTGCATTCACTTTGTGATATGGCTACAGTGGCAGGAAGAGGGGAGCCAAGAGTGTGGCACCAGGGCGTGTGGACCGAGTTGTAACTCATTTGAAAGCAGGTGAAGTTAAGGGCGCAAGAGAGGGTGTGTAAGATAAGTATTTCTAAGATATAATTCTACTGTTGAAATTGTGTTTTGAGGACAAGTGCAAATCAAATGGCTAGGTAGCTAAATAGTTAGCTAGTTTTGGCTAACACAGAATGACTGAAAAAGTTAGTTTTTTATCTCCCCATATAATCTCTGCTTGTTGGCTAACTAGCCACCTTGTCATTGGCATAGAGTGAACAGATTAATCAGATGTGTGTGGGCAATAGCTAACTAGCTTTCACATTCCGTTGCCACTAGATAAACTGGTTAAACTAGCTGCAGTGTCAACCATGTAGCTAGCTAACGTTATCTATATCAACAGGTCAGTCCACTGCAGCATCCTCCCACGCATTGCTCTCTCCCACTCCGTGTGTGTGTGCGTATCTAAATGTCATTCTGTTTTTATGACAAGGTCTATAAGCACCTGTCATACAGTCAGTGTATCATCTCATTAAGCTTTTTGTGCCATATACTAGAAAAATGTATTTTCATTTACAGCTTGTAGCAGCCCAACTGAGGGAGAGAAGAGGTTCGGAAGAGAAGGACGGTAAATCCGGTTTTGTCTGTACATTTTCATTAACGCTATTGAAATTGTAAAATGATTCTAATGTCTCGAGTACCATATACCTTTTTAAGAAATTGTGCACATTGATAGATATTAAGTCAACATTGAATGACCATCATTGAAACTGTACAGCCTACGGACTTTGTTTGATGTCAGTCTTCATTGACCACTGACATACCTGTGCTGGGGAACTTCTGCAAGATGGTGCTGGCAGGCTCTAATAAGTGAATGTCAAATACATTTTTGTCCTTTTTGTTTGCAGTCACAGTTTACCATAAGCTGTAAAACTAAATTTGTTTCTGGTACTTAAGTGGTTTTCTGACTGGATACTTTTTTTTACTTTTTTGAGAAGGCTAATTTTACTTAGTAAAAGTAACAGTACTTTTACTTAAGTACAGATTTTCAGTACTCTACCTCTGCAAATTATACATTGCCTAACTAGAAAACATGGGCGACCATCCACACTGGAGGAAAGTTTATCGTTCTACAGTAGGCCTACATCTGTCAATCAACTGATGGCCCAAGTCAGCTCATCAATTTAGCCAGGGAAACACAAACCGTAGATTATCGGTTTTCACACCTTTCATTATGTGACTATTGATAGGCTAATGGTTGCCTACAAAATGTAGCCTATTAGAACATAATCAAATAACAAGGGGCCTATTGCAACCAATCGATAGAACTAGATTATCGCCAACTGATATCTCATTAAACCATCAATATGCGTTAAATTCACCCGCACAGCTGATCTCAATTGCAAACATTATTGAACACATCATTACCACTCCCTAAAAGTTGTCAGTGTTACCTTAGTCAGATCGGTAAATAATGATGAGATGCTCATGTCTCCACCCTAACAATGGTAGTCATCCCAAAGGCAGGCAACAAGCTTTGGTCTGCATATTAAGCCCATAGAAACGCATTGGGCTTGTTCTGGACTTATTTTGGTGAGAGTGAGCCCTCTCGCGTCACCTCTTCCTCTCGGACTTAGTCCTGCTTGCAACCAAAGTCTTTCAAGATATGTTCGTCCTCTGGTTGGTATTGTCATGGGAACAACGTAGTCCTTTTTGAACAGACTAAGGGAGATTTACTGTATCTATTTGACACGCATTCTGTACGATAGAAATAAAAAGTATTTCCTTGTTTACCATGGCTAATCTGTGGCAATTTATCCGACATTTGTATGAATGGAAACTAATGTTGCTGTACTATTATTATTTTAATTGTTTACTATTTATGTTATCCAAAAGTGTCTGGTATGGTAATTTCTTATCAAGATAGAGGGTAAAATAATACTGGAATGTCCATATTTTAAATGTGTTACTACATCAAGTCAATCGGGAGATTGTGTTTTTTGTGCCAGAAAGGCTTGGGCCGGAATTGAACTACATTTTGACAGTTCATTCGTAACCTTAGGATACACTAGACACTTGTATGTCGTAGCCTAGTGGAGACCAATATATATCTTGTGTTATTAAGATATATAAAACTATGGTTGTTGATGTGTATGGCTGTATTTCAGATAAATGTTTGTACATTTGAATGTTGCAGTAATAGGACTTAGGACTATAGCATTTAAGCGAGCGAGCGAGAACATTATTTTAAGACAGCAAGCCCTGATCCCAATGACTTGACTGCCCCCGCATGAAGAGAACGAGAACTGCTAATTCTTTGCCAATCACAAGGCTAATTTGAATTTCCCAATGCATCAGGAAAATTCTCCGCAACAAAAGCGTGATCAGGTTAAGAGCTGACATCTGTAGATGGCATAGACGGTAAATCGGAGGACAGGACTGAGGACATGACTCACTTCAGTGTGTAGTTGGTGAGGGGGCAGGAGCAGAGGTTTTGGATGTGGTGGAGACAGACCAGCTGACCAGGGCTGCAGGGGCAGGTGATGGCAGACAGGTAACAAGTGGTCCTACACTTGGCACACTGCCGCTCGTCGTCCTGCAGGAGATTGTATTCCGCCTGCTGGCAATGCAACACCCCCTTGTGGAGAAATACAAAAAACACAACTATGTTATAAATGGAGACCCGAGAGAGACCGTTTTGATTTGCATTTACAGACAGTTCTCCTTAATTGGAGTGAACAATGTCTCATTAGTGTTTGATATTCCTTGAAAAGAGAAAAGTCATTTTGATATATCATTCTGTCTGTTGTGGGGGCTCCTTACCATCTTGCGGACTTTATCTCGTAGGTCCTGCTCCTCTCTGATCATATCCTTCATATCCTTCTGGACAGCCGACGCCAGGACCACGTCCAGACTGTTGGCCTTGGAGGCCATCTGGCAGATCATCTCGTCGTGGGAGAAAACACAGTACCGATGCAGCAGTCTGTAGTGGTCAACACACTGTCGGCCTAATGCCATCTGAGATTAACCAAAGAGAGACTATATTAGTAAACAGTCCACTCCACATAAACTACCCCTTCCAAGATAATGTCAATGAGGCACTTAGGTAAAGGAAGAGAACATGCTCAGCTCTATCCTTCTCTGTAAAACAATGAAAGGATGCTTGAAGCCAATGAGTATGTTACCCAGTCCACAGTGCAGAAGTTGACAGCCTCAGCGAAGTTGAAGCCTTGGTTGAAACCACTGTGATAAGCTCTGGGGAAGGTGATGACGAACTCACCGGCACACTGATTTGTTCTGTAAATCTGGGGACACAGAAAATATTGATTTCAGATTAATTCATCCGTTACTAAAATTATATACTATTCTATGGAAATACATGGTTGTAAGTCTAGTTACATTGAGAAACTTACAGGGACCCCGTGAGACATGAGGGTGTTGGGGTTCATGATGGTGACCAGCTGGTGGAGGAGGTCAGGCTGAATCTGAAACAGCTCTGGGGCCAGCTTCTTCATCACAGCCTCAAGCTGTTCTGCAGCAAAGCCAGGTGCTCCATACCATGTCTTCGGCTCCCCCCTTTCACAAACACAGAGCTTGAGTCAGGAACATCATGCAAACAAAGCATTTTAAGTGAAATTCTAAACTTGAAAATATTGTCTGGACTCCATACAGAAAATGTGGAAAACGAAATAGCAATGATCATAAGCAAAATGGCACTTTGTGTTATGATTGTATGTTACTACTTCATTTATTATTTAATTTCAACATCCCTAAATAAACATCAGTACCAGTGCAGGTAGTTGATGGAGTAGCTCCAGTGGTCCTCGATGTGCCAGCAGAAGGAGGAAAAGCACATGCCTACATAGAGCCATGGTAGAGTCATTCCACAGATGTCTGCTGTGACATGAGTCAACACTGACGGGTCCATCATCGCCATGTTGTTCAGGTTCCAGCCACACTTCAGGTACTTCTGAAAGAGATCATGGTAAAGAAAGAGTTGAGCATTTTTTTAAATAATATATTTTTATTCTGATACAATGGTACATTGACAAGACATGACATTGAAAGAAAAGTTTAGCCATTTTATCATGAGTCTACTGTGTGATATACTGTACTGGTTTGGTTAGCCATTCATTTGAATACAGCTGCCTACCTCATCCTTTTCTGAAACCTTAAATCTTCCATTTCTGATGGGGAATCCGCTCCCAAACTCCTTGGAAGCTATATCTGCTCCGTACTCCACTGTGACGTCCTCCTCGATGGTGCTCACCAAGCGCCAGAACTCTTTTTCCACCAACTCTGTGGGAACCATCTGAAACAAACACAATGAAATGCAGGGGCGGACTAGGACCAGAAATCGGCCCTGGCATTTCTAACACACCTGCCCATTCCCCCCCCCCATTGAGGCCATTTTTTTTCTTCGAGGCCCCCATTATTAGCCAAGTAATGATCATTTTTGCGAGAAAAAAAACTGAAGTGGGACAGGCCCACTGGGCTAAAAATGGACCAGCCCATCTGGCATTTGCCCAAAATGCCAGATGGCCAGTCCGCCCCGATGAAATGTTAAAAATGCTATTTCATATTCCATTGATGACAGTTGTGAATAAATTACAACACTTCAAAAATCTTAGAACTTCCTTGATGATTAGACATTTTCTACTTACATGAACTGGCATGTTGAAGTAATCAGATTTGAAGGAGTCTGCCATTTCACCAAAAGCCCGCAAAGAGTAGTCCCTGTATGCCTGCTCAAAGCCAAATGCCTCCTGAGGTTTGCTGCATTCCTATTCAAAATAAACAAAGAGGTAGAAAGCACACCTCAATAAGTTTTAAATTCACAGACAAACACAAAGGTACTCTGTATATGTAACAGAGCTGAACACATTCATATCATACACTCACAGGAGCCAGTACAGATTGTCTGTGAAATGTAAATGTGGTTATTGGTGTGATGAGGTGAATAGACATCACTACTCACTTGAGCCAGGCACTTGGGGCACCTCCAATCTCCTTTGGGGACGTCGTGTAGAGGGGGTATGAGACAGAAGGTGTGGTAACTGTCGTCACAGCCATCACACAGCAGAAGACGATCCTCGTCACTCCCGCTGCCACACACCAGACACATATACAGGTCCACCTACCGAACAGAGGGAAGAAAGGGCTTTGTTCCAGTTGTTCCTGACAGAAGCTATTTCTTCACCCCTGTTAATACACAACTAATGAACTATATAATAACTAAACAACAGAACCATCTATAAACTACATGACACATTCTTGAAGTGGAATAACCAAAGGGACTACAATTCAACTTTTGTTCACATTTGTTAAAACCTATATGCTGCACAAAGATGTATAAAACGTGTTCTAGTGTAAAGACACAATAATGTTGATAATCCATTTAGAGTATTCTCTCTCATCCAAAGAATGGATCAAATAAATCCACACTTACTACACTCACTGCAGGAGGTGGGACATCAAGACTGGGTTTTTTCTTATATCGAGACTTGTTTTCGTCTGCCTCGCTCACTGGCCCGATGGGTTCTTGTTTCACTAGAATGGGAATTTCTTTTTCTGCAAAGAAAAATTACATATGATGAGCATAATGAGGAACATCAGATGATTTAACTCATGAATTACCCATGGTGCATCTTACTCCCTAGCCTGAATATCATACACTATGTTCCAAAATTCACACTAGCTTACATATTAAAATACATTGCCCAATACATGGCTTGATTCTAAATTGTATACAAATTCATGGATATTGGCACTGATCACATATTGTCTTAACTCTTCTGTGGTTGAAGTAAAGCCTTGTTGGTACTGACCTGGCTCGGACTTGGCAACAAAGGAGCCCATCCTCCTCCTCAGATTTGGTCTGTTCTCACAGGGTTCAGTTCCTGGTTCAGTCTTCACACAACCGGACTGTCGGTGGAAATAGAGTTCAAGTTAACTATTGTAACTACCACTAATGATGTTACAAAGTTTATATGCAACAGAGAGCAGTGATGTGCCAATGCATTCATGAATAATTAAGATAACACACATAAGGCTTTAAGCTAATTACACTTCATTTTGTGACTTAAGGATTTAAAGGAGAGTAGATGGTTACAGGGTAGTTTCTGCAATCTGAATTACTGGTTTTATGAGGAGTTCTTCTGACAAGTGTGTGAGGCTCTGTTTGACAAGAGCATCTACCTCAACTCTCATCCGCTTTGCTCTGCGGGCGCTGTTGCAGCAGGACTCGGCTGGCTGGACAAACTGCTGCCTCTCGGCCAGGTCATGGGGTTTGTACTCCTTGTCACTCGTGTCAACTGGCAGGGTTGGCTTCTGGACAAACTGCAGGCATAGGCACCATAGGATAGGAACATTAGTGATATCATATACAATGTAATGTTACACAATACATACAGTTAATGCATTACAAATGTAGAATTAACATACAAGCAAAACAAAAGACATGGCACACATGTCTATGGCAGCAAGGACAGTGGCGCACAGACAAAGCACAATGAGACAATTTTAAACATAGAATGGTCTGTAACATTTCTGTGTAAGCAAAAACTCCAAACTATGCCATAACCACCATAGACATGTGCTATTTGTTCATTCTTAGATAATAACCATGAGGCAGCCATACCGTGTCAAGTTCAGGGGCAGACACTAAACACATCAGCTTGGAAGCAAGCTCTGGTGCCTAAAGCAAGAGAGAGCTTGGAAAGTTAACAACAACAAAGCCCCAATCTATATTCACTCTGCAGTTTTCAATCCATTTATTCAATATTGAAAATGATCCTCACATTAGACAAACATATAGTACTTCCACAATAACAGCAGTATAACTATGGTTGAACAGTGCCCAACTTGCCTACAGATGAGCCAACCAAGCGCTTAACACAGCATTAGCTAGTGCATAAAGCGCTGAGTGCAATGTGAACAGACACAGACAGATTAACCATGGGTGTTAGGGCATCTGTCCAACTTACCAGGAGGTTGGCTCCACTCTGGAAGAGGTTGTAGGGGTAGAGGATTCTCTCATAGTGTGACCGTAGGTGAGAGCCCACAGCCTTGCCAGGAGCAAAGCCCATCTTAAGTGCAATCGCCGTCCACCGTCTGTCGCGACACACAATATCAAATCCGCCCTCATCTGCAACATTCTGAAATAAAATGTGTCTAAGTTAATTATAGTCAGTGGATGCTGTTCAATGCTATTTCAGATGGAATAAATGCATAGTAGTTTGAAACAATACTAAACACCCAACCTTGTTGAGTTGATACAGGTCCAATATCTTCCTTTCCACGTGAGGAATTTTCAGAGAACACCCCTGCAACTCCCAGAACTTTGCGATCTTGTCCAAGAAGTTAAGCTTGACTCTGGTCTGTGCCTAGGCAAGGGGAACATACACTAGGTGATATCTAACAGTCACTGTAGGAATTGAAATGTAGGTGATAATAATCAGTCTCCTGACTCATCAATGTGATGCAATAAACAAATATTGGTGAACTGAAAAGACAATATTTCTGCTGACCAACTCCTGCACAAGCAACCTTTGACCTTCCTTTCACCAAAGCTTCTGAAGGGGGTGATTAATAATGGTAGGCACAACAGAACCTTCAGTGCTTCGTCAACAAGACAATTGCATTGACCGAGACCCTGACCAATCAGTTAAATTCCCCTCTATAGGCCTGGGTTTCAAAGGGGTGCATCCTGCATATGGTGCATATCATCAAGGGTATTGTTTATGGAAACTAAGACCTAGGTTACACATAATGCAAAGTGACCTACTTACCTCTAGTTCATTGAGCCTCTGTATCCGAGGAGTGAAGTGCAGTCTGTCAACATTACATGCAAATGGGGGCTGCCAGCCCTATGAACATACAACAACAAAATAGAATTATTAAAATGTGCCTTCCATAGGACACATAATAAAATAGGCCTGTTGTCAGTGTTGGGAAAGCTACTCTGAAAATATAGTTTACCAAGCTTCCAATTACTTCACACTGGAAGAAATTAAGCTACACTGAATCTACCCTTAGAAAAATATAGTTTACTTAACTAAAGTTACTTTGAAAAAGTAGCTCACTACATCCAAACTACTTAGTGATAAATTATCATATCTCAATTTGAAATGTCAGACTACAAATTGCAAGAACATATCACTCTGGAGTCAGATGTTAACAGAATGTTTAACGATCTTTCAAGTGAGAATTGGGCAGGTCTGATGCTGAAAAAGTGAATTATTGCCTACTTCACCCATATTTTATTTGAGCAAAAAAAGTAGTGTGTAGTTCCAGTAGTTGGCTACATGGCAAAAAGTGATTAACTACTAAAAACAGTACCAATATTTAAATGTAGTTCAACTAGCACCAAGCTACTGCAACATGTAGTTAAATTACTAGCTGAAATACAAGTAGTTCACAAAATTATACAAAGTATGGGGACATCTTACAATAAACCAGTCATTGTCCCATTTGGAACACCGGTCAGTAACAGATGTTTAGCCTATAAGTCTGTGAGTCTGTCTATGGGTCTCCTGTCGTAATTGAGTTACATCAAAATCAACAAAAACGTTTTACATTGGCCATCGGCAGGACCTAAGTCATTTGGCTTTAAGTAGGGTAGATGGAGTCTCTTTGAAAGGGGGTATTGCAGACATGTAGGATTATTTTAATTTCACATAAATAGGTCAAAGTACTTTTTTCCTCAATATAATTAGTTATTTAGGGTTACAATATGAGCATTGTAGAGCATACAGCACGATTGATTTCTTATCTTAAAACGCACTAGCCTAACTAACATCACCAACAAAATGGCCAGATGGAACTCAACAGCTCCGGTTTACCACAAAGCCAACATGGAGGACAACACCCAAAAACTGTCGGCCTACTGAGTGAACATCCCATTGCACCAGGATATCTCCATCAATCTATCCAATTACTTAGCTATTAACACTCATTTTATCCGATATTGACTGGTAGTTATAACCAATAATGTATACGTTATATGATTTATGTCTATTATTAACTTATGGATTACTTATTTTCTTTTGGTTATTAATGTTTTTTATTCCCAAAAAGGTCAACACAGCTAAAAATATTTTGAGAAATCATTTAAATTTAGGATACACCAAACAAGACTAATTAAACATGTGATCCTTAGTTGTGGGAAGATAGAAGTTTGTCTGAATGACGTCATCAAAAACAACATTCAACAATATAAACAGCATCTGTAACACTAACCGTACGCCTGTCTGCCTCTGGCATTTCCAGTGACGCATATCGTCAAAAAAAAGTCAAAAGTTTTCCTGTTATTAAAAATGTGTATTTTTTTCTTGCCTGACACAACTAGCCAATTTAGCAAGCTAGCTAGACAAATGATTTCTCACCTGCCAGTCTAGTTAGCTAGCTGCTTACTTAGCTAACGTTAGCTACTGTAACGTTAATTAACCATGTCCGGCTGTAGCTAGCTAACGTTACGTAAATTGACATTTTATTTATTGAAACGTTGTTTGTTTTAGGTAGTATTAACGATGGCTAGCTTGTATTTTTACACTTAACTGGCAGACTTCGCTGTCGGTCATTGTGCCAGATATAGCTAGATAGCTTGTTTGACATCAGTCGCTAGCGAAAGATAATCTCACGACTCGTTCAAGTCAGTTAGCTAGCTAGCCGGTTTCGTTTTCAGTTAAGCACAAATATACATTTTCACTAACGTTTCCTGCTGCTACACAAAGACACTCCGCGGGTCAGGTAGCTATCTAATGTTATTGAAACTAGATAGATTATGTAGCTAGCTAAATAAACATTTTAATGATACACAAAAGAAAAAAGCCTTAATCCGCCATGTTGAAAATGTCCCTTTAAAGCCCCCCAGTGTGTGGTTGATGTCAGTCTTCTTGTTGTTAAAATGGTATTAAAGATTATGTTGAACCATTCAGCAGCTCGACCACACTTACCGGAGGCGGGCGGACTTTGCAAATACCCGTTTTTTCCGCAATTGGACGGATCTTATTTATAAAAGCAAAAGGATCGGCAAATTCCTCCCAGCTTGGTTCGAAGACTGGGCACTCCGGAGGCGGCTTGAACTCGTCCGGCCGAGGCTGGGTCATCTTCGTGGTCCAATCTATAGGCTCAGACAATACAGGTAGCCTGATCACAACAGTGTCACCTTGTTATGATCTGTCGGGAGGTCTATCCTTCTAATATTCCAATGTCAGGTTCTCTAAAAGTCAATCGGGATCAACATACGAGGCAGTTTAGTCAAACACATGCACAGCGAAACGAATGTTCTAAGGCAGTGACTACGTCCGCCTAAAAAAGTAGATACCATATAGTTTTTCTAAAACCTCTATTTGTTTGCAAACTCATTCTATGACCTTAGAAATCAAATCTAATGAATGTTAGACATTTTGAATCCATATAAATTAAAGGATTTTATTACATGGATTGTGATTGTGAAGTTATAGTTCTACAATTTTTCCTAAATATATTCCGATATTTCATACACACATGAATATATAAATATGCAAATCAACGTTTGTTTTGACACACCATTGTGTTGAATTTTGTATATAATTTACACAGAATTATGTAATGTTGAAAATGATGGAGGACATACAAAGGTATGTGGACACCTCTTCAAATTAGTGAATTTGGCTATTTCAGCCACACCCGTTGCTGACAGGTATATAAAATCAAGCACACAGCCATGCAATCACCATAGACAAACATTGGTAGTAGAATGGCCTTACTGAAGAGCTTAGTCACTTTCAATGTAGCACCATCATAGGATGGCACCTTTCCAACAAGTCAGTTCCTCACATTTCTGCCCTGCTAGGGAAAGGGGGATACCTAGTCAGTTGTACAACTGAATGCATTCAACTGAAATGTTTCTTCCGCATTTAACCCAACCCCTCTGAATCAGAGAGCTGCCCCGGTCAACTGTAAGTGCTGATATTGTGAAGTGGAAACGTTTAGCCACGAAGTGGTAGGCCACACAAGTTCACAGAATGGGACCGCTGAGAGCTGAAGCGCGCAGCGCAGACAAATTGTCGGTCCTCAGTTAAAACACTCACTACCGAGTTCCAAACTGCCTCTGGAAGCAACGTTAGCACAATAACTGTTTGTCGGGAGCTTCATGAAATGGGTTTCCATGGCCGAGCAGCCGCACACAAGCCTAAGATCACCATGCGAAATGCCAAGCGTTGGCTGGAGTGGTGTAAAGCTCACTACCATTGGACTCTGGTGCAGTGGAAACGCGTTCTCTGGTGTGATGAATCACGCTTCACCATCTGGCAGTCCGATGGACGAATCTGGGTTTGGCGGATGCCAGGAGAACGCTACCTGCCCCAATGCATAGTACCAACTGTAAAGTTTGGTCTGGGGCTGTTTTTCATGGTTTGGGCTAGGCCCCTTAATTCCAGTGAAGGGAAATCTTAACGCTACAGCATACACTGACATTCTAGATGATTCTGTGCTTCCAACTTTGTGGCAACAGTTTGGGAAGGCCTTTTCCTGTTTCAGCATGACAATCACCCCATGCACAAAGTGAGGTCCATACAGAAATGGTTTGTTGAGATCGGTGTGGAAGAATTTGATTGACCTGCACAGAGCTCAACCCCATCGAACACCTTTGGGATGAATTGGAACGCCGACTGCGAGCCAGGCCTAATCACCCAACATCAGTGCCCGACCTCACTAATGCTCTTGTGGCTGAATGGAAGCAAGTCCCCGCAACAATGTTCCAACATCTAGTGGAAAGCCTTCCCAGAAGAGTGGAGGCTGTTATAGCAGCAAAGTGGGGACCAACTCTATATTAAAGCCCATGATTTTGGAATGAGATGTTCGACGAGCAGGTGTCCACATACTTTTGGTCATGTAGTGTACTTTGTTTCTTATCATGAATCATTCTGCTTAGAGAAATAATGATCAATAACTACTTTCTTCCCTCAGACCCCTAAAATGGGACTACATTCCACAGGCCACAATCAACTCTATGTGAAGGAGATGTGTCGCGCTGCATGAGGCAAATGGTGGTCACAACAGATACTGACTGGTTTTCTGATCCATGCACTTACCTTTTTTTGAAGGTATCTGTGACCAACAGATGCATATCTGTATTCCCAGTCATGTGAAATCCATAGATTAGGGCCTAATGAATATATTTCAATTGACTGATTTCCTTAAATGAACTGTAACTCAGTAAAATCTTTGAAATTGTTGCATGTTGCGTTTATATTTTTGTTCAGTGTAGCTGAAACGAGACACTTACGATTCCCCACATGGCAGTTTCTGGACTTCTGCCACATCAAAGCATCCTGTAGCACTAACTCCAAAAAGTTTTGGGACACTGTAAAGTCCATGGAGAATAAGAGCACTTCCTCCCAGCTGCCCACTGCACTGAGGCTAGGAAACACTATCACCACTGATAAATCTACAATAATCGAGAATTTCAACAAGCATTTTGCTACGGCTGGCCATGCTTTCCACCTGGCTACCACTACCCCGGCCACCAACTCTGCACCCTCCGCTGCAACTTGCCCATGCCCCCCCCGCTTCTCCTTCACACAAATTCAGACAGCTGATGTTCTGTAAGAGCTGCAAAATCTGGACCCCTACAAATCAGCTGGGATAGACAATCTGGACCCTTTCTTTCTAAAACTAGCCGCCGAAATTGTCGCAACCCCTATTACTAGCCTGTTCAACTTCTCTTTCGTAACGTCTGAGATCCCCAGTGATTGGAAAGCAGCCGTGGTCATCCCCCTCTTCAAAGGGGGTGACACTCTAGATCCAAACTGTTACAGACCTATATCCATCCTGCCCTGCCTTTCGAAAGTATTTGAAAGCCAAGTTAACAAACAGATCAAATTGGATGTAGTCTATCACAGTGCCATCCGTTTTGTCTCCAAAGCCCCATACACTACCCACCACTGTGACCTGTACGCTCTTGTTAGCTGGTCCTCACTACATGTTCGTCGTCAAACCCACTGGCTCCAGGCCATCTATAAATCACTGCTAGGCAAATCCCCGCCTTATCTTAGCTCATTGGTCACCATAGCAGCACCCACCCGTAGTCTGCGCTCCAGCAGGTATATCTCACTGGTCATCCCCAAAGCCAACACCTCCTTTGGCCACCATTCCTTCCAGTTCTCTGCTGCCAATGACTGGAACGAATTGCAAAAATCTCTGAAGCTGGAGACTCTTATCTCCCTCACTAACTTGAAGCATCAGTTGTCAGAGCACCTTACCGATCACTGCACCTGTACACAGCCCATCTGAAATTAGCCCACCCAACTACCTCATCCCTATATTGTTATTTATTTTGCTCTTTTGCACCCCAGTATCTCTATTTGCACATAATCTCTTGCACATCTAGCATTCCAGTGTTAATACTAATTGTAATTATTTTGCACTATAGCCTATTTATTGCCTTACCTCCATAACTTGCTACATTTGCACACACTGTATATATATTTTCTGTTGTATTTTCTGACTTTATGTTTTTTTACCCCATATGTAACTCTGTGTTGTTGTTTTTATCGCACTGCTTTGCTTTATCTTGGCCAGGTCGCAGTTGTAAATGAGAACTTGTTCTCAACTGGCTTACCTGGTTAAATAAAGGTTAAATAAAAATAAATTAAAAAGCGTGCACACGGTTTTCGTGACGTTGTCAGCTAACCCATCTATAGTATCCTCACTGGCTACACTGGGAAAATCTCCATTGTATATTAGCCTCACTGGATACACTGGGAAAATCTAAATTGCATTCCTCGCGTCCTCTCTCCTCGTCTCCTTCTCCAATGGGTTTTGAGAAGGAGACAAGGAGAGAGGGGAGGACGGCAGGAGGAGTCAATTGAGATCTTCCCATTGTTTACTACCGCGGATGGATATTTTCAGGTAATTCCACCACTGCCGGAACTTGTTCTTTAAATAGCCCCGATGGAGTATTTTGATTGGATGTGGCCGCTGAGTGGGCGAGCACTGAGGGGTTTGTAATCATGCATGATACATTGTAACACAGTTTGAGGCTTGTGACAAATTATAGCGATCTTCAGTAGCCAATGCGCTCCACAGTAATGATCCATAGCCCAGTAGCAACAGTCATCAGCTCACTGAATGCAACCAGCAATGGGTTACTACTGTTTATTACAGATTTACAAACTATCTAAAAATCTATAAACTCATAATATACTGTTAGTAAACTAAATATAATCCCTTAATAAATTATTACTAAAACAGAACATGACACCAGAATGTGGGCGAGGTTATACAGTCTACTCTGGGTTGAGCCTGGCCCAGCTGTAACATGTTCATTATCATGAATTTCAATGAAATATGCAGAGAAAAAATATATTGCGCAATATTGTACACAGACAGACTTTATTCAGAAGCTGAAAGCCATTTCGATTGCAAAAAATGGCACTTTGGAATTGACACATTAACAGGGTGTTATTAAACAAGTGCATCTGGCTGTCCATATGGTTTTTACAACTTCAGATGTTTTGGTTCAGGGCAGGCAGATACAACAATGAATTGTTACAAATAGAAAGTATACAAAGAAGACGGAATAATACATTTTTAATAGACTGATAGGACATCATGGTTCTTCGGTTCTTAATATTCCTCACCCGCTTCATCATCATCAGATTCTGTGCTTGTTCTGCCCAGCTCTTCATAATCCTTCTCCAGACAAGCCAGGTCTTCTCTGGCCTCAGAGAACTCTCCCTCCTCCATGCCCTCACCTACATACCAGTGCACAAAGGCACGTTTGGCATACATGAGGTCAAACTTGTGGTCCAAACGGGCCCAGGCTTCAGCAATGGCAGTGGTGTTGCTCAGCATGCACACAGCCCTCTGGACTTTAGCTAGATCACCTCCAGGTACGGCAGTTGGGGGCTGATAGTTGATCCCAACCTGATTAGATAGAAGAAGAAAAATTAATTAATGACCCCTTTGACCGAGAATGAAATATGGTATTTATCTATCGCAATTTATAAACTGGGTGGTTTGAGCCCTGAATGCTGATTAGCTGACAGCCGTGGTATATCAGACCATATACCACGGGTATGACAAAATATTTATTTTTACTGCTCTAATTACGTCGGTAACCAGTTTATAATAGCAATAAGGCACCTCTGGGGTTTGTGGTATATGGCCAATAAACCACGGCTAAGGGCTGTGTCCAGGCACTCTGAGATGCGTTGTGTCTAAGAACAACCCTTAGCCGTGGTATATTGGCCATATACCACACCCCCTCTGGTCTTATTGCTTAATTAAACCATATGCGGGAGGCAATCATGTTCCTTACCTTGAAACCGGTAGGGCACCATTCCACAAACTGGATGGAACGTTTGGTCTTGATATTTTGAATGGCAGCATTCACATCTTTGGGCACCACATCTCCACGGTACAGCATACAGCAGGCCATATACATGCCATGGCGAGGGTCACACTTGACCATCTGATTGGATGGCTCGAAACAGGCAGTGGTGATCTCAGAGACGGTCAGCTGCTCATGGTAAGCCTTCTCAGCGGAGATGATGGGCGCGTAGGTGACCAGGGGGAAATGAATGCGGGGGAATGGGACTAAATTGGTCTGGAACTCTGTGAGGTCAACATTCAATGCCCCATCAAAGCGTAGGGAGGCAGTGATGGAGGAAACAATCTGACCGATCAATCTGTTGAGATTGGTGTAGGATGGACGCTCAACGTCCAGGTTGCGGCGACAGATGTCATAGATGGCCTCATTGTCCACCATGAAGGCACAGTCGGAGTGATCCAGGGTGGTGTGGGTGGTCAGAATGGAATTATATGGCTCTACCACAGCTGTGGACACTTGGGGAGCTGGGTAGATGGCAAATTCCAGCTTGGACTTCTTGCCGTAGTCAACAGACAGGCGCTCCATCAGCAGAGAGGTGAAACCAGAGCCGGTGCCGCCTCCGAAGCTGTGGAAGATGAGGAATCCTTGCAGCCCTGTGCACTGGTCAGTCTAAGGAGAAAAACTATTGATCAACACTTGGGATGCACAATATATTGGCCTCAGCCAATATATTCTATATTAGCCTATATTATTAATATATTATGACTCAAATCCTTATTTTGACTGTATGACCAAGATCTTAATGTGATACTTACCATTTTACGGATACGCTCCAGGACCCCGTCAATGATCTCCTTCCCCACGGTGTAGTGTCCACGGGCGTAGTTATTGGCTGCATCCTCCTTTCCAGAGATGAGCTGCTCAGGATGGTAGAGCTGCCTGTACAGCCCAGTCCTGACCTCATCTGGGGGGAAAACAATCACTCTTCAACAAATATAGGACATCAACATCAACTGGAAATGTCACCTGAATTACCACAATTGTTGATTTCCCAGTCCTGTGCTCAGATTTTTTTGTAGCCTATAAAGCTGTACTTGCATCTTCCCGTAGTGTAATGTAGATGCACCATTTTCAGTGGCGTAAAGTAACTATGTAAAAATACTTTGAAGTAGTTTTTTGGGGTATCTGTACTTTACCTTGTTATTTATATTTTTGACAACTTTTACTCCACTACATCCTTAAAGAAATATGTACTTTTTACTCCTGATACATTTTCCTTGACACCTAAAAATACTAATTACATTTCGAATGCTCAGGCAGGACAACAATATGGTCCAATTCACGCACCTATCAATATAACGCATTCTCATCCCTACTGCCTCTGATCTGGCGGACTCACTAAATCAATTTAACACGTTTGTAAATTATGTCTGCGTGTTGGAGTGTGCCTCTGGCAGTCCGTTATTTAAAAGAAACAAGAAAAGTATGACAATTGTGTACTTTTTCCACCACTGACAATATTAACAATCATGATTTCTAGTATTTATTAATGTGCAGTAGTAACACTTGTAGACGTGCTAGAGTAGAGTTCGTGTTTTGATTAATGCACACTACTTACCTTATACTGTAGCTTATCAGCAGCCCCACCATGTTATGTAACATGAATTTCATTATTTATTACTTGGCAAGGGCTACTGCAGCCAACTTGTCTGTACTTTGGAGCAGCATATGCTGTGTATGGGCTTTCTTTATTCGTTCATTTTATTTGTTGATGGCCCAGTTGTTATTGTTGTGAAAGTTTGGGGTGTGTATCATTAACAAACACTTAATTTATACAACATTTAAAGATGCACTATGCAGAAATCGTTCCGCCATTTCCTGGTTGCTAAAATTCTAATTGTTTGCCTAATTTCAGATTATGTGACAAAACAAGCAAGTATAGTGTAGAGAATCATTGTACCATCTAAACCGCTGTGAATTATATTTTCCATAACCAAAAATATTGTATTTTCAGCTGTTTGAAACTGGTGTACAAAACCGAAAGTAAAATACGCAAAAACTAAACTTAAAAAACGGGAAGCATAGAAATACCGCACATATAACAGATCTACCGCTTCTTAGACTTGCGTTCAATGAGAATGACAGATCTATAACCCACATTTCTATATGAATTTTGTTGGGTCACCCAAAAAGTTACATATTGCAGCTTTAACTTGAACTTTCTCTTCATCTTTGTATCAATATTATACACCAATTACAGCTGGCTAGGTCTACAAACACAACCCTTTCTACAAGCTTTCCTGAGCCATGCCCACTGAAGAAAGTGTAAAAGGGGTCATCACCGCCACCACCAATGGTCTTGTCGTTTGGATACCATGCTCCATCCAGCACAGGTCCCTGCCCACATGCATTCATTCCCAATTAGCACGCCTGTCTGGCCCATGAGGATGGATATGCATTTATACTACACATGTGTAATCACACACACGAAACATGGATGGCGGAGAATAAAACAAAACATTACAAATGACTTTGCTTACCGACCACCGTTGGCTCCAGGTCCACAAATATGGCCCTGGGAACATGGCGGCCAGAACTTCCGGTGTGGAAAAAGGTGTTGAAGGGGTCCGTCCGGGAATTAGGCCCCTGGTCCTCTTCATTGAACACCCCGTCAGGCCCCACACCGTGTTCCAAGCAGAAGAGTTCCCAGCATGCATTGCCCGTCTGAACGCCTGCCTGGCCCACGTGGATGGAGATACACTCTCTCTGTTGGCCAAAAACAACAGTATGACTACTTCCTGTTCCTCAAACAGTCTGTCTGAAGTGGAAAATACACAAACAGCAAAGCCCCTTTTACACAGATACTGTAAATCTGACTATATCAACACACAAAGGTACAAGGAATTCAAGTATGCTGACATGTAGGATTTATTCATAACAACATTCCTGTATGTTATTTTTTCTCCTTTGGCTGGTTGTTACACCTCAGTAAGCACAGTCATAACTGAAGAGGACTGAATTAAATGTTGATAGAAAAGGGCAAACCAGAAATAGATAAATCCAGGGAAAAATCTAGATGTGTCCATTACCACATGGTTCAAGTCATTAAAGGTGATGCCAAAAGTAGAGAGCAATACAGTAGCTCCAAATGTAAAGTAACTGTGTCACTCTAAACATTGATCCTGAACTCAAATCAGGTCAAAGAACGGATTTATTCCTTTGATGGTCAAGTTTCCCAGACACAGATTGATCCTAGTCCTGGGCTAAAATCAGGGTGCTTTTTTAGTCCAGTACTAGGCTTAATCTGTCTCTGGGAAACTGTACCAAAGTATTTAAAGAATATCTGCCATACACATGTTTCAGCATGTCCAGATTTGTAGTCTTGGCTCTGGATCCCAGGGGGAGGAAATTCTAGGTTCTCACAAGGTGGTAATCAACTGACATGGTCCTCTGTAGCTCAATTGGTAGAGCATGGCGCTTGTAACGCCAGGGTAGTGGGTTCGATCCCCGGGACCACCCATACGTAAAAATGTATGCACACATGACTGTAAGTCGCTTTGGATAAAACCGTCTGCTAAATGGCATATTATATTATTTTTAAAAAGTAAGTGGCATCTGTAAAATGTAACACTAAAATGCTGTGTAATAACACAGTGTCACAAAGAAAAATAGAACTCCTAAATCGTGAATACAAAAGTAAATTATTGTATGAGGATGACACGAAAGGGGCTTGGCATGCTTGCTATACTTTTGAATGCCTGATTGTTGAGAAAGCAAATGGCCTCTCAGTGGTAATCATGCATAGGCCCATAGGCTGTACACTAGCCTACATTTTCCTTTATGTACACAATTGGTATAGGAAGATAGTGTATCACATTACTTTCCTAGACTCTTGCCTAAATATAGGTAAAGTAGGCTAATGTTTTAAGAAAATAATTTGCCATTTGAAGGTTAAAAACTTCATGAAAGTTTGTCAAGCATGTGACCCAACCAACTGCCCCATACCACCTACCTATCTGCTTCCTCACCAAGGCTCAACAGATTCCTAGGATTCCTCTCTTGCAGCCACAGTATGCATTCCCGCACATACTGTATTACATTGTTATAAGAACGTAGTAATAAACGATCAACTTTACTACTAACGGATACATTCAAACGGAATGGATAGAGTAGGGCCCTACGCATGACTGAGGTTATGGGCATAAGGCAATAAAAAGCTGAATGTTTTTCATTTTTTCAAAGGAAACATCTCAAACCGTTGAGTAAATGTTGGTCTACATTTTCAGAATGCGTAAACATTACATTTGCCAATGAGGCTGGCAAATATTAACAATAACACCGAAATGGGAAAAATGTACTTCCCGCATTTAGGATTTCAATGCAAAAAGTTATGTAAATTGCGCACATACCATTTCCCCCTGTCAAGATTCAGATGATTGAAGACGCGTAAAAACGGTTGAAAAAAATTATTCTCAATATACAGTAAAGGCGCAAAAAGTTTTTGCTCCAGCTCCGTCGACAAAGACGAGTTACGTGTCTCCGCCAACACAGCAATGTCAGGCACCCTTTGAATGCGACGGGTGATTTTATAGCCTTGGTCTGTGCTGCACACCGCCCACACTACTGAAATACCTGAGCACTCTAGTCGAATTGTCATTGGATCCCAGTGGTGACGATATAGTTATGACATTTCAAAAAATGTGATGTTCGTGAACACTCAACATTATTTTAATATATGTGATTTGGTTCATACTCCATCTACATTTAGATATTATTGTACATTTGGGGGGTAGCCGGGTTTGAACTGTACTAGCGCCTTGGGGCAGTCCGTCATAAAGCACTTATCAAGGATCACTTGAGAACGCATCCCTGCCCCTCCGAACATCCGCCCACACCTCTGATAGTCCCACAGTAGTGTCATTCCACTTCTGACATCAATGCAGCTAGTTTGGGGATTAGCCCAACCAGGACTCAAACCCAGGTCCCTGCGAGCGCGACTGTCAGTCCAACGCCTTAGCCATTACACCAAAATGTCTGAAACCCTTGACAAAATCACTAAGCTTTTACTAGAGGTCAACACAGTACACTTCAACATCGAATTCCGCATTGCATTACAATAATAACTGAATACAAATATAAAAGTGATACATTATCACAATGTTTATTCACTTTTTCAAGTAACAACAAAAGACTCCTCAGGATTTTGTACTTCCCCTGGAGAGTAGAAGTCAAGTCATTTTGCTTGTCGAAACAAATCCACTATCGACAAATGCATGCACCATACCCACATCCTCAGCAGTCAGTTGCAGGGGCCAAAGAGATTTTGACAAGATGACAGAAACAGCAAAAGAACAAGGAATCATCTGCAGTCCACAATACAATTATGGCGCTTTCCCTAAAATTAAATTAATTTGAATATCTTTGATACATTGCAAATAATGACTGTCAGGTAAATATAACAATTCTTCAATAAGTGATTTGTTTCTAAAAGCACTTTATACAGAATTACAAAATCTACAAAGGGTTTACTGCCTGACTGATTGAAAACCTGGCAAATGCTAAATAATCGTCATACTTGATGGCATGACAACAATCACAGTCCTAATGAGGCATCATGGATGTTCAGTTAAATGTGGGCCACAAGGGCATAAGGCATATAGCAGCAGAAAACTGGAGCCTCTTGTGTTTCTTCTGCTCCACGGTTCATAACAGAAGTAGAGAAATATATTGCACTTTAAAAGATGAGTCAAAAATGTATCTCACAGGTAACCACGGCAACAGGTACCACTCAAAGTGTGTCATGCGATCGAGTGGGTTGGGATGGATGTCTTCTTGGAAGCAACAACTGTTAATGAGGACACTGAAACAACTCTAATCACTGTTGTACACCCCTTGTCCCTTATCCATAGAATGCCGAAGGGTTATCACACAAAAGTAACTAAGCTCAGATGAGAAAGTCTGATGAAGAGAGTCAAGAGACTTCCGGGAGGACATATAGCACACTAGCCTCCAAGTGAATGATCCCTCTGTCGCTCCATAGTAGTGGCACGTAAATATCAGATTCAGGACTAGCTGCCTGCCCTCCTCTGCTTCACCCGACCTTTCTGAGGTTGTTCGGAGGTAAATCTCACTTCTCTCGGAGGACACACACTCCTGCATCGCAGCGCTGTGTGGCCATGGAGGTGACCACCTCCCAGCTGTCAATAACTGGGTCGTAACACTCGATACTGCTCAGAAGGGAGTTTCCATCATACCTGGAGAGAGGGCAAAAGAGTACAGGGGAGGATGAACAATACATCATATGGCTGTGTTCAATGACATAAATCGCATCCTTATAATCGAAAACTGGACCATAAGGGGAGAATGCATTCATGATTCAGATATATTACAATGTTATCTAAGCAAGAATAATATAAATCAATCAAGAGTCATACATTATGTATATTAATGATCCCAACCAAAATTCATTTATATCTCCTAATACTGAAGTCGGGTGCAGAGCCGTGGTTGAGTGATATCACTCCTGGCTCTATGTACAACTCTTAGCTGGAGACTGGGGTTCAATCCCTGTGTCCTCCCTTCACTCTGTATCTCCTCTTCACCTGTCTCCCTCATTGTTTCTCATCTGTCTGTCATTAAAAGCAATAAACATACGAAAGGAAAGTGAATTTACACTCTCCTTAAAAAAGTAAAAAATAAACAAAGCCGGGTTGGGATGTTCAGGCTTACCCAGCTATGGCGTAGAGTCGTCCCCGGAGGACGGTAGCTCCTACGTAGCAGCGGGGAGTGGTCATACTGGCTACCGTGGTCCAATAGTCTGTCCTAATGTTGTAAACCTCCACTGAGTCGAGGTGCGCTGTTCCATCGAAGCCTCCCACCACATAGATGTGGTCGTTGAGCAAGGCTACACCAGCCCCTGCAACAAAGATTATAGGCCCTTCAGACATACTAACCATAGCCATATGTAGAGAGAGCCATACTGTATATCATCTATACAGCCCTGATACCATTCTATTGTCATACTCTGGAGTACTGACCTGAGCGTTTGGTGGCCATGGGGGTAACATTCGTCCAGTGTCCTGTGTGAGGGTCATACCGCTCCACTGAATTGAGGATATTCAATCCGTCGTACCCACCTGCAACAAATGACATACACTACATGACCAAAAGTGTGTGGACACCTGTTCGTCAAACATCTCATTCCAAAATCATGGGCATTAATATGGAGGTGGTCCCCCTTTGCTGCTATAATAGCCTCCACTCTTCTGGGAAGGCTTTCCACTAGATGTTGGAACATTGCTGTGGGGACTTGCTTCCATTCAGCCACAAGAGCATTAGTGAGGTCGGGCACTGATGTTGGGTGATTAGGCCTGGCTCGCAGTCGGTGTTCCAATTCATCCCAAAGGTGTTCGATGGGGTTGAGGTCAGGGCTCTGTGCAGGCTAGTCAAGTTCTTCCACACCGATCTCAACAAACCATTTCTGTATGGACCTCTCTTTGTGCACGGGGGCATTGTCATGCTGAAACAGGAAAGGGCCTTCCCCAAACTGTTGCCACAAAGTTGGAAGCACAGAATTGTCTAGAATGTCATTGTATGCTGTAGCTTTAAGATTTCCCTTCACTGGAACTAAGGGGCCTAGCCTGAACCATGAAAAACAGCCCCAGACCATGATTCCTCCTCCATCAAACTTTACAGTTGGCACTATGCATTCAGGCAGGTAGCGTTCTCCTGGCATCCGCCAAACCCAGATTTGTCTGTCAGACTGCCAGATGGTGAAGCGTGATTCATCATTCCAAAGAACGTGTTTCCACTGGTCCAGAGTCCAATGGCGGCGAGCTTTACACACTCCAGCCGACACTTCGCATTGGTGATCTTAGGCTTGTGTGCGGCTGCTCGGCCATGGAAACCCATTTCATGAAGCTCCCGACGAACAGTTATTGTGCTGACGTTGCTTCCAGAGGCATTTTGGAACTCGGTAGTGAGTGTTTTAACTGAGGACCGACGATTTTTCTGCACTGCGCACTTCAGCACTCGGTGGTCCCGTTCTGTGAGCTTGTGTGGCCTACCACTTCACGGCTGAGCCGTTGTTGCTCCTAGATGTTTCCACCTCACAATAACAGCACTTACAGTTGACCGGGGCAGCTCTATCAGCGCAGAAATGTGATAAACTGACTTGTTAGAAAGGTGGCATCCTAGGACGGTGCCACGTTGAAAGTCACAGAGCTCTTCAGTAAGGCCATTCTACTGCCAATGTTTGTCTATGGAGATTGCATGGCTGTGTGCTTGATTTTATACACCTGTCAGCAACAGGTGTGGCTGAAATAGCTGAATCCACTAATTTGAAGGGGTGTCCACATACAGTGTAGATCCTTACTAAGGTCAGTGGGGGGAAAAAACAGAGTTATTTTAAATATTTATATACCAACACCATTACAAACTTAAATCAAACATATTTAATACCCACCTAGACAGTATATAAGTCCACTAGCCACCACCAGGCCAGCCCCTTCCCTGGCTGTCTGCATGTCCCCCAGCATGCTCCACTGGTCAATATTGGGGTCATATCGTTCCATGCTGGTGTGACGGCGGCTACCGTCAAAGCCTCCAGCAACATAGATCATATCTGTGGGCAGAAAAGTGAGAAAATAAATGTTAGGAAATGTTCCAACAACTTTTTGAAAGTCTGCATTAGAAAACACTTACAGGGTTTTGTTACACCTGAGGACAGTCAAACTCACTTCAGTGCTATTTGTTTTTGTAAACCCCATGACAATGAGGGCTGTCAATCAGAGAAGATCCTCTACCTCCGAGTGTTGTCGCCCCGGCAAGGCCACGCCGTACATTCATAGTGGCGACGGTGTACCAGACACCATCCTCGTCTGCCGTGTAGTCCAAGCACTCCACCGAGCTAAGCCGCGATCGACCATCGTATCCGCCAATCACATACACGCGGTCATTGAGGGACACGGTAGCCACGTAACGCCTTTTCCGAGCAATGTTCTGTAAAAACATGCTTGGGATAAGTTAACCATGATCAGAGAGCCAAAATATGTCCTTTAAAAAAATGATACTTACAGGTAAAAAGCTCCACTCCTGAGTTTTAGGATCATACTTCTCAACGATATCTATAGGGGATTGTTGACTGCCGAATCCTCCAATAACCAGCAGGACCTCCTTGGCACCTTGAAAGAGCAACATGGAAATCACTTTTTCCACATGAATAAGGTAGAAACTTCCACTAAGCTTGTCTTGTATCCCTATTATTAGGACAAGAAAAGCACTCCATAAAAGGGAGGACAGTACTGTACCTAATCTGGCTTGGGTGCGTGGACCCTGCATCTCACTCCTCAGCTCTGGTCTAAGGTGGAATTTCTTGGCCTCATCCACAAGGTCTCGACAGGGAAGACTGCATCGAATGAGGGGCTGGAACACGTCACAACATATACAGTACTTTATCAAGACAGTAATAACACCTCTGCTCAACACTTGAGGCCTGTTTCCCAGAAGCACACTATAAATCATTCTCAATGAAGAATTTCCATTGAAAGTGGATTTCAGCCCAGGACTATGCTTAATTTATGTCCGGGAAACTGGCTGTTGATGTATTAACACAAACCCATTATAGGGAGGCCTAAGACAAGAAAACTGCTTACATCATGTGGTCCTCTGTAGCTCAGCTGGTAGAGCACGGCGCTTGAAACGCCAAGGTAGTGGGTTCGATCCCCGGGACCACCCATACACAAAAATGTATGCACGCATGACTGTAAGTCGCTTTGGATAAAAGTGTCTGCTAAATGGCATATTATATTATTATATCATGTGACAGTGTGTGGTCTAGCTGCCTCACCTCTGAGTCGATGACATCTGTGATATAGCGCGGAGTGAGCAAAGGCATCCGCACATGCTCCAGCATCTCTGATAAATACGGCTCCCTCTCTTTCCTATTGTGTTTAACCCAATTCAACACTGCCTCGAATACAGGCTCCTCTGAGTCCACCTGCAAACAGAGACAACATGTATTCACAACCACACACCTTGACAACAAAACAAAACATGCTTGTTGTAATAATGGTAATCCCAAAGTATAACTACTCAAGGCCAAACATGCATTCACTCAATCACACTGATTACTCCAAATGACTGAGATCAACTTCACTTCAAGAGGAACAAGTCAAAGTGACAGTTTTAATTAATGATGTATATACAGTCAACTAGGGCAGATGGTTACAAAAATAACTGAAAATTGTGTCTCTGACTTAACTAACTTTGTATTACACACATTTTGATCACGAAAATCGTGACAAGCAAAAATCCTTTGAATTAATTGGTAAACTATAAATCAAGTCCCATGGTTACAATTATGTTTTTATACAGCAAGATATGCGCTGTGCGGTTAAACACAGGAATTTCCAGAGCACAAAGGCATACTTAAATCAGATTCTCTTCTCCATAATTTCAGAGCCAGATCCGCAATGGGGGCCCCATTAATGGAGATTACTGCAGGTCTACACTTGCACCTTTTCTTTCAACTTCAGGTTTTTGAAGGACAATTTGAGACTTGTGAAAAGTATCCCCCTGAGCATTCAAAGATGACCCCGAATAGAGATCAGACATGCACCTGAGGCAGCATGACTGTGTGCTCTCTTAATTCACAAACAAATTCAGTACACTATTCGACTTTGGTAACACTTTACATCAAGTTGCTCTTATACCTGTGTAGTACCACCATAATTACACTAGTAACATTGTATTAACATGTTACTTAGTATCAAATCAAATCTTATTTGTCACATGCGCCGAATACAACAGGTGTAGACCTTACAGTGAAATGCTTACTTACAAGGCCTTAACCAACAATGCAGTTTTAAGAAAAATAAGTGTTAAGTAAAAAATTAAAATAAAAAATAATTAAAGAGCAGCAGTAAAATAACAGTAGCGAGGCTACTTAAGTAATTGTAGTTTAATTGCATAGAAATTGAGTTGTAATTACAAAAACACAACTCCATTAATATGCAATTACAAAGGCTACCTAATGTAGGCCTACGATGTAACAACAACGATTATTACTATCGTAATTAGAGCGTTACGACACAAGTCGTGCTGCTGCTCCAGTTTCCACTCTTCTGCCTACGGCTATGGAACCCTGACCTGTTCACTGGACGTGCTACCTTGTCCCAGACCTGCTGTTTTCAACTCTCTCTCTCTACCGCACCTGCTATTTCAACCTCTAAATGCCCGGCTATGAAAAGCCAAGTGACATTTACTCCTGATGTACTGACCTGTTGCAACCTCTACAACCACTGTGATTTTATTTGACCCTGCTGGTCATCTATGAGCGTTTGAACATCTTGGAGAAAAATCTGGCCTTAATGGCCATGTACCGTTATAATCTCCACCTGGCACAGCCAGAAGGGGACTGGCCACCCTTCAGAGCCTGGTTCCTCTCTAGGTTTCTGCCTTTCTTGGGAGTTTTTCCTAGCCACCGTGCTTCTACATCTGCATTGCTTGCTGTTTGGGGTTTTAGGCTGGGTTTCTGTATAGCACTTTGTGACATCGCAAATCAAAAAAAGTGTCCTTTTTACATCTGCCCTTTTTACATCTGCTGATATAAAAAGGGCTTTATAAATAAATTGGATTGATTTAATAATATCTCAACAAATCCACTTTGCTTACCTGGATTTCATCGCATTTAACTAGTTTTTCAACCTCGTTCTGGCTAAGCAGCATAAACTCCTCATGTTGAACCACCTCAGGGAAGTGCTTCTGGGAGAAGAGTTCAGCGGCCTGCATCAGGTCAAGGCAATTGTGGGTCTCAGCAAAGTCCCGAATGCCCAGGCAGTTTGTGGGATCAAGCTGACTATCCAGAAAGTCACAACAAGCTCTTTTTACTCCTGTGGAATACAAAGAAACATATACACATATTAAGTGAGTGCAGTACGTTAATTTGTGTGAAATAATGTTGAAGTATTTAATTTGCTAGTCTGTCTCAAGTAAAAACTTCTTGACATAAATGAACAATGTTTCCACTATATTAGCAAATTAGCAATACAATCTCGCCAGTGATATTGCACAAACCTGATAAGGGAAGCTGATGGGTGTGCATTTCCTTTTACAAAGGAGCAGATTTAGATTTAACTGACATACTGGTAGTTTATTCCACAGAGTAAATACAGTGGATGTACAGTAAAGTGCATATAGTACACCCTGTCCAATGGTTCTCATTATTTTTTGATTTCTCAACTTACCTTTGAGTTGCAGCAGACAGGCTGCAGGAAGCAGTTCCTGGACATTCTCCACTGTGACCAAGACCGTCTCTGTGTAAACAAAGTCGAGCAGGATCTCCATGGTGGACGCAGTCAACCCCTGGATGTCTACGAAGGATTTCCCTTTCTCTGACAACTGCAAAAGCACAACAGCAAAGACAGACACATCAGCTTAAATTACTGGTTAGTAGTCGCTCTTGCCAGACACAGAGCGCTCCCCAGTCATTGCAAAAAACATAGGCCTCCTGATTTCTTGTGTTTACTATTTGTCATACTTGTGTAGGCAGCTGTGGATTATAGTCAGCTTTGTTAGTAAAAGAGCAATGCTCACCTGGGGATTCTTAGAGAGCTAAAAATGTTAAAGGAAAGAGAAACTAGGTCAACCGAGCTACAGATAAATAATTAGCATTGGACTAGTTCTGCTATGCACTTTCATTGCTTTTTCTTGTTTGAGAATAGCCTAATATTTGAGGTAGGCCTATATTTTAAAGCATTTTTATTAAGCTATAAATAACCAGATGGCAGTCAGATACACTGCAAGACATATTGCTCAAGGAAATGAATATCAGTTTAATTTTAGCCTACAAAAATCTTAGCTGGGTTCTAAGCACAAGGGATATGTAGACACTATTTTGGGCATTGTCAACCTCTGAACTAGTCAAACAACTATTACCTGTCTCTTTCTGCATACAGAGAGAACCACCAGCAAAAAGTATTTATAAAGTTATTATCGCTGATGACACTGATGATCAGTCATCATTGGTCGTTTGTGGAAGTGCTCTCTCATATGTGTCTATCTAGGCCTAAATTATCTCCAGTCTTGTGCTTACAGTTACCTCGCTGGTGAACATGGCACAGAAGTAGTCACTGCAGGCTGCCAGGACAATGCGGTGTGCAGGAAAGTCAGTATTCTCCACTCTCAAAGTGATGTCACAGAGTGTGTTGTTCTTACGAAGTGCGTTCATGGCATTGAGGATGGATTTGGCATGGGAGTTGGTCATGATGTCTTTGGGAGCCATGGTACTGTACTTTACAAAGAGTGCCTCAAGTTTCAAGAATCTCAACGTGCTGCAATATCTGCCAAAAAGACAGAAAAGCGTGAACATAGTTTGGAGGCAAAGTGCAAAGATGTCAAAGTTATGATAAATGATATGGGACCTCAACCACTGAAGTTCACAGCTGCTCACTGTGCAGGCAAAATACATGACTGTACATGTATTACAGTGAACAACAACAAAATAACTAGACCTATTAGAAATCTAGAAATAACTGCCCTGTCCCACACAGATGACCTGGGTTCAAATCCAGTTGGTCACATTGATGCCGTGACCTGGATTCATGCAGCTAGCGAACTTTCCACTTCTTTGGCTAAACTGGCATCTGTCCAACTTGAGTTGAATTAGCTTTACTTTAGCCAACGACTTTAAACAAGATGTCACCTTATGACATTGACATAGCCAACTCCAAATAACTAACTATCAGTTGGTTATGAAATGGACAACTAGCCGCGGCTAACCGTAGCGAACTAACTAACTAGCTAACTACGAGTTATGTTAGCTAGATGGCTAGCTACATTTCAAATATTCACAAAATATGGGTAAAGGGTTTGAATGAATGTGACAAGCAAACTACCAAATGAGCAACACGAATGGCACACACAGTTTCAATCAATAAAAAATAACTACCCACCACCTAGCTAGATAGCATTAGCAAGCTGACCAGCTAGCTAGCTTTTTTGTTTGCTAGCTAACTCCAACCGCACAAGACTAGTCCAGACTTCCCAGTCACATTGGAGGATGCCAAATGTGGTCCATGGTAGCGTATGTTTTCCTGCAATAGTGTGGGCTATTGCTCATTCGTTTTTCTAATTACTAACGTCAGCTAGCGGAAACAACATTTTAATTTCAAAATGCCGCAACAACTGTATCTAGCTAGCCAGCTATCCGCAGTCAGTGTAGCTTTTGACAAAAACACAATACGTCACGTCACATACGTGCGCACACCTCGAATGTGAATGTGCATGTTTTACTGTTGAAAGTAAATTCTGAACCAATGCAAACAAACCCACAAAAACTCACAATCAAAACAAATAGAAAAACGTTTTTCCTTATTCACAAATTAAACTAAGGGCTTTTTGTTTTACTGTTGCGACAGCCTGCTTGAAATAGGTGCACTCGATTTAGACTACCGACGCAGGATAGGTGGCGTTTCGACCTTTATGAATGGTGCCAAAAGTGCAACATCGTGTACCTCCTTTTATTATTATTTTTAATTATTTTAACACATCATGAGTATATTTTGTCTCAGGGACATGTTGTCCAAGGGAAATGGACAGTTTGATTGTGGTAAAAATATTTGTAAATGCAATTGTGGATCTACATTTCTGACATATTGGCAGATTGAGCCATGCACGTTTGCTTATCCATTTGACACAGTAAACAACCATTTACAAAATGTAATACACGTTTGTGAATCCTGTTATATATTTTATTCAGAAACCAAGGTGTTAGAAAATGTATGCACTCACTAACTGTACGTCGCTCTGGATAAGAGCGTCTGCTAAATGACTGAAATGTAAAATGTGTATGTTTGTGAATATTGGGCGGATCGGCTCATTGCATAGGCCTTTTAGGCCTCACCCCCGTTATTGGACTGGATTTGTTAGCCTCATTCCTGACAGTTCCGTAATCTATGTTACTAGATAGGCCAACGTCAAGAAATGAGGGCGGGGATTAGAGCCACCCAAGGAGGAAGTTCTATTAACCTGAGCAGCGGTACACCGGCCGAATCCACTAATTTGAGGGGTGTCCACATACTTTTGTATAGATAGTGTATATGGGCGAATTTTCAAACTAGTTTTCATCGGGAAGCAGCAATCACTGTGAAAACACAGAATCCTACTGATTACTACATGTGCTTAATATAGCCTAGGCTACGTCACTTTTGTTTTGAGGCGATTTTGCCATGGGCTTTGAACGGGGCATCTGGTTCACGCCCGGATTCTAAAACGAATGCAATCACTTTTCACCCGGTGCTTCCTCCGGGGTAACTCGGGCCAGATCATCGAATCCCCTCAAGGACAGTCTTGATAAAGAGGAGCGTAACCGGGGTTGTAACGGCGTGTATCCGGTAAGACCAGGCCGAGAGTGACGACAGTAATAGTACTCTATGTAGCTAGCTACTGAAAAATAAAGAACAGTATAGAAAGAGTTGTCGACTTTGTTGGACAACGTCTCAAATTTGCTAAACCTTTACAAATAGAATACAACTGGTCGTCGGGAAAAGGGGCGGCTGTAGCACGGCAATGGAAGCCGAGTTTCGGGGAATCGATGAACCCGGGAGTTGGAACGCCATTTACCAGGTAATGTTAGGTTCGTCTTGAAAAATCAAGGTGGATTTGAAGTTTCGAGTTCTGTTTGGTGAGTAGGCTAGATGTAACCTTTTATGGGCCTACAACTACTTTTATTACACGTGTCTCGTGGTTACAAAGTATTCTTTCTGGTTTATTGGGTAACAATTTTGAAATAGCTAGCTAGGCTACCCTGTTCTGATTTTGTTGTAATTACCAACTTCCACGGCGCTGTCCGATGTGAAGCCTTCTACAAAACCCCACTGTTTCGAAAGATACATTTGTAACATCGAGTAGGCTATAGCGACTGTTACATTTGTAACGTTTACCTGCACGTGGTAGATGCATTGTAGCAGATTAGTGTCACATTGAGTGTCATTGATAGCTGAATGTGGACAGATTCCACCCTACTTACTCCATGCCACAATTCAGACATGATCATGCATGTTATTCGAAAAAGGGGAAAACTACAATTGCAATCACATTTAACTATCTATCTAACGCATCTATTAACCTCTTAGAATACTCTGGATTACAGACAAGCCCTAAAGGTGGCTGTGGCCATATGTGTCATATCTGAGTGAGGCAATGGGGACAATTATTTATTAGTGTCAGCCTAATTTGTCAAACTGCAGACATGTGGTTTAGGAAAATATCCTTTAGATCGCATATTTACTGTAGCTATCCCAAGTCTCCTGTTATTGTGTTGTAAAGAATGACCCTAGCTTTAGGAAATTGTATGTTCACCTCCAGAAACATCCAGTCACAATGGATAAACACAACATAAGTCTGCACCATAGTACATTCTCATTAAGACTCAGCTAGGGTTGAAACTGGTTGTAATAGACTGAGCACTATTGGGAGAATACTAGTGAGAAAGCAACCATAGGAACAACCATTTGCCTCCCAAAACAAATATAACTCACAAGGTAAGAAATGTTAGTACGTTTATTAATTTTTTTTTGCTCACAGGAAATCCGTCAGCAATCAAGTGAGCTGCCCTGCAAACTTGCTAAATTACCTGAAAACAAAACTCGGAATCGCTACAGAGATGTCAGCCCATGTAAGTTTTGTTCTCTTGATGCCATCTAGTTCAAGAATGGGCAACTTTGATGGGGTGGGGGCCACAAAAAAGAGAAGATTTAGCAGTTTTACATGTTATTTCCTGCAATTCTATACAGTTTGCCATAGGCTGGAGAGAAATGCTTTCCGTTTTTATAGTGCCTTCGGAAAGTATTGACACCCCTTGACTTTAAACTGGTATTTATTGTCACTGGCCTACACACAATACCCCATGTCAAAGTGGAATTATGTTAAAAATGAAAAGCTAAAATGTCTAAGTATTCATCCCCTTTGTTATGGCAAGCCTAAATAAGTTCAGGAGTAAGAATGTGCTTAAGTTGCATGGACTCACACTGTGTGCAATAAGTGTTTAACATGATTTTTGAATGACTACCTCATCTCTGTATCCCACACATACAATTATCTGTGAGGTCGAGCAGTGAATTTCAAACAGATTCAACCAGAAATTCCAGGGAGGTTTTCCAACGCCTCGCAAAGTAGGGCACCTATCGGTAGATGGATATTCAATGTTTGCTTTTTTTTTTTTTTTTTTTACCCATTTGAGCATGGTGAAGTGATACATTACACTTTGGATGGTGTATCAATACACCCAGTCACTACAAAGATACAGGCGTCCTTCCTAACTCAGTTGCCTGAATGGAAGGAAATCGTTCAGGGATTTAACCATGAGGCCAATGGCGATTTAATTTTAAACGGTTAAGAGTTAAATGGCTGTGATAGAACTGAGGATGGATCAACAACATTATATTACTCCACAATACTAACCTAATTGACAGTGAAAAGGAAGACTGTACAGAATACAAATATTCCAAAACATGAATCCTGTTTTCAATAAGGCACTAAAGTAAAACTGCAAAAAATATAGCAAAGAAATGTAACTATGTCCTGAATGCAAACCTTATGTTTGGGGCAAAGCCAACACATCACTGAGTACCACTTCATATTTTCAAGAATGGTGATGGCTGCATCATGTTATGGGTATGCTTGTCTTCGGCAAGGACTAGGGAGGCAAAATCCTAGAGGAAAACCTGGTTGTCTGCTTTCCAACAGACCCTGGGAGACAAATTCACCTTTCAGCAGTACAATAACCTAAAACACAAGGCCAGATATACACTGACTATTATTGAGTAGCACCCCCCTCCTTTTGCCCTCAGAATAGCCTCAATTCGGCATTGACTCTCTACAAGGTGTCAAAAGTGTTCCACAGGGATGCTGACCCATGTTGACTCCAATGCTTCCCACAGTTGTGTCAAGTTGGCTGGATGTCCTTTGGTTGGTGGACCATTCTTGATACACAAAGGAAACGGGTGAGTGTGAAGAACCCAGCAGCGTTGCAGTTCTTGACACAAACCGGTGCGCCTGGCACCTATTACCATACCCTATTCAAAGGCACTTACATTTGTTGTCTTTCTCATTCACCCTCTGAATGGGACACACACAATCAGTGTTTCAATGTCTCAAGGCTTAAAAATCCTTCTTTAACCTGTCTCCTCCCCTTCATCTACACTGACTTGAAGTGGATTTAACAAGTGACATCATTAAGGGATCTGGTCTGTCTGTCATGGAAAGAGCAGGTGTTCTTAATGTATTGTGTACACTAGTTGCTTACCAAGACAACATTTGAATGTTCCGGAGTGGCCTAGTCAGTTTCGACTTGTATCGGCTTGAAAATCTGAGGACTTGAAGTTGGCTGTCTAGCCATGATCAACAACCAACTTCAGAGCTTGAAGAATTTAAAAAAGAATTGAGCAAATCTTTGCACACCTAGATTGTACAATCTCTTCGACTTAACCAGAAAGACTCAGCTGTAATCGCTGCCAAAGGTGATTCTAACATGTATTGACTCAGGGGGTTGAATACTTATCTAAACAAAATATATTAGTGTTATTTCTTTAAACAAATGTTAGAATCTTTCTTCCACTTTGACATTAGAGTATTTTGTGTAGATTGTTGACAAAAATGACAAATCAATTTTAATCCCACTTTGTAACACAAAAAAATGTGGTAAAAGTTAAGGTATGAATACTTTCTGAAGGTATGAATAAGAGATCTGAGTGGGCGTGATTAACAAAATCAATAGGTGCCACCCGGTCGGTAATTCCACCATGATTACTACAAATTTAGAAAGCTGTCCGCTAGACTAATTTACAAATGAATGAATAAATGTTAGCTGCTGATGCACAACCAAATTTGAAAATTGCCCTTAGTTTATTCTACTATTCTCAACAGTAAGTTGAGACCCTGACTGACTTGATCCACAGGCCTACAAAAGGGGGGACACGGCGATCTAGTTAGAGTACTGAGCTGCTGCGATTCCTCGGTCTAGGTAGACAGAAGCATAACATAAGGTGACAAAATTACAATAACAGGCTCAAACATTGGATATAGTTGATGCATCATGCAGGATAGCTTTTGATACCAGTGCAATTTGCGAAATAATCACTGTTCTTGTATTTGGGTGCTATATACTGTGACTGAACCTGTGTTAAACTGTAGTCTATGAAACATGTATGGTAATGGATGTATCTTTCAAGGACTGATGCCTCACAAGTAGTTCAACAGATCAAGCTTTTACAGTTGTCATGTCTTTTTTTAGTCTTCCGTCATGGTAACTAGACAGAGCAAAGCTGTTGTGGTTTCCTCTTTACACAAAGATGCAAAAAGTGAACCTAAACCCTATGGGACAGATCGGTCACATGTCAACCAGGGTGTCAATATGTTCTTGTTTCCTGATTTGATGTAAAGTGAACAGCAGCCATTCAAAATACTTGAAGTATTTACTTTAGTACCATTCCAACTCTTTTGATTTAGTTGAGGAGAAATGGCCTAGATAGTATTTCCTGTTTAGTTGAGTGGATTATAATATAAGAGAAGAAATAAACACTGCTGTCTTTCAGTCACAGATGGATCTGTTGGATGCACTGTACAGCTGCACCAAAGGTCTCTTGGGAATTTCATCTCTAAACACAAGTCCCTTGGGATACCGCAAAGTTGGAAGTGTTTTCTTTTCATCAGCCTTCTTTCATTCTCTGCAGTTGACCACAGCAGAATCCGCCTGCAACTGGGTACGAACGACTACATTAACGCAAGCCTGATTTCTGTAGAAGAGGCACAGAGAAGCTACATTCTTACTCAGGTTTGTAATCTGGTTTTTGTACTCTGGTTTATAAGGGATTTCTGAGAATAAATTGTCTAGATGTCAAGTGATTACAGCGATTTTACTTGGTTCAGAATGTCAGAGTTGCGCAAGGGCATCTCTCAGATTTGTCATGCTACACTGGAAGAAATGTTTTATTACATTATCACATTGATTCTGTTTGAAGATACACACCCACTGAGGTTTCATTTTAGGCTAGTGAAGAAGTGGTACCTGACTTGAGTGCCATTTAATGAGATCTACAGTGCATTCAGAAAGTGTTCAGAACCCTCAACTTTTTCCACATTTTGTTACGTTACAGACTTATTCTAAAATTGATTACATTATTTTTCCCCCCGGCAATCTACACACAATATCCCATAACGACAAAGCGAAAACAGGTTTTTAGAAATTTATTTACATAAGTATTCAGACCTTTTGCTATGAGACTTGAAATCATCCTGTTTCCATTGATCATCCTTGAGATGCTTCTACAACTTGATTGGAGTCCACCTGTGGTAAATTCAATTGATTGGACATGATTTGGAAAGGTGGGTGCCACGAAGACTCTTCCTAGAGCTGGCCGCTCGGCCAAACTGAGCAATCAGGGGAGAAGGGCCTTGGTCAGGAAGGTGACCAAGAACCCGATGGTCACTCTGACAGAGTTCCTCTGTGGAGATGGGAGAACCTTCCAGAAGGACAACCATCTCTGCAGCACTCCATTAATCAGGCCTTTATGGAAGAGTGGCCAGATGGAGCCACTCTTCAGTAAAAGGAACATGACAGCCCGCTTGGAGTTTGCCAAAAGGCACCTAAAGGACTCTCTGACCATGAGAAACAAGATTCTCTGGTCTGATGAAACCAAGATTGAACTCTTTGGCCTGAATGCCAAGCGTCACGTCTGGAGGAAACCTGGCACCATCCCTACAGTGAAGCGTGGTGGCAGCATCCTGCTGTGGGGATGTTTTTCAATGGCAGGGACTGGGAGACTAGTCAGGATCAAGAGAAAGCTGAACGGAGCAAAGTACAGAGATCCTTGATGAAAACCTGCTCAGGACCTCAGACTGGGGCAAAGGTTCACCTTCCAACAGGACAACGACCCTAAGCACACAGCCAAGACAACGCAGGAGTGGCTTCGGGACAAGTCTCAATGTCCTTGAGTGGCCCAGCCAGAGCCCGGACTTGAACCTGATCGAACATCTCTGGAGAGACTCTCCCCATCCAACCTGACAGAGCTTGAGAGGATCTGCAGAGAAGAATGGGAGAAACTCCCCAAATACAGGTGTGCTAAAGTTTGTAGCGTCATACCCAAGAAGACTCGAGGCTGTAATCGCTGCCAAAGGTGCTTCAACAAAGTAGGGAGTAAAGTGTCTGAATACTGTCTAAGCCTGTTTTTGCTTTGTAAATATGGGGTGTTGTGTGTGTGTAGATTTTTTATTTTTTTTTGGGGGGGGGGGGGGGGGGGGGGTGCAATTTAATTCGTTTTAGAATAAGGCTGTAATGTAACAAAGGGGAAAAAGTCAAGGGGTCTGAATACTTTCCGAATGCACTGTATATCAGAAGTTGGTAACACTTAATTTGATTCTTCACTGACATGCTCCTACGACTAGTGTAGCCTGTCGCATATATTACAGTGGGTGTGTTTTTAACTGTGCCTGAGACATAAAACCCTCCAGGAAAAGAGCTGTTTAACAATACCTCTCACTCTTCTTTCCTCCAAAGGGGCCCCTTCCAAACACATGTGGTCACTTCTGGGAGATGGTGTGGGAGCAGAGGACAATGGGAGTGGTGATGCTGAACCGTGTCATAGAGAAAGGATCTGTGAGGATTACCTTTTTTATTTAGTTTTTTTTAAAAATACGAGCCCCCCTCAAACCACTATGGACCTCCAGTTGCAGAGTACTGCTCTGTTTCCGGTGCAACATAGGGGCCCTGGACAGTGGCTTTATAGCTTGTTCACATAAGGGCCTTTCCTCATCCTATTTCAAAATATAAACATTATACTTATTCAGTGTAAACATCCCAGTCAAATGTATGCACTCCTGAAACTTCTGACAATTTTCAGGTGAAGTGTGCCCAGTACTGGCCGCCTAGAGAGGCGAGGGAGGCGGTCTTTGAAGACACACATTTCAAGCTAACACTTGTTTCAGAAGACATCAAATCCTACTACACTGTCCGTCAGCTGGAGCTAGAAAATCTGTCGGTAAGATTAGTCTTCCTTCGTTGTGCAATCTTCTGTTCTCACAAGATCCTATTATAATCTTAAATTAGATACTAAGGCATAAAATCAAACCTTGAACAAATGGTTACACTTCCTGTTACAGTGCCCTTTTCACTGATCTACACTATATACAGAAGTATGTGGACACCCCTTCAAATTAGTAGATTCGGCTATTTCAGCCACACCCGTTGCTGAGCACAAGGCCATGCAATCTCCATAGACAAACATTGGCAGTAGATGGCCTTACTGAAGCGCTCATTGACTTTCAACGTGGCACCGTCATAGGATGCCACCTTTCTAACAAGTCAGTTCGTCAAATTTCTGCCCTGCTAGAGCTACCCCGGTCAACTGTATGTGCTGTTATTTTGAAGTGTTAAGGTTTAGGAGCAACAGCGGCTCAGCCGCGAAGTGGTAGGCCACAAGCTCACGGAATGGGACCGCTGAAGCGTGCAGCGAGGAAAATCGTCTGTCCTCCAGTTGCAACACTCACTACCGAGTTCCAAACTGCCTCTGGAAGCAACGTCAGTGCAATAACTGTTCGGCGGGAGCTTCATGAAATGGTTTTCCATGGCTGAGCAGCCGCACAAAAGCCTATGATCACAATGCCAAGTGTCAGCTGGAGTGGTGTTAAGCTTGTCGCCATTGGACTCTGGAGAAGTGGAAACGCGTTCTCTGTAGTGAAGAATCACGCTTCACCATCTGGCAGTCTGACCGATGAATCTGGGTTTGGCAGATGTCAGTACGCTACCTGCCCCAATGCATAGTGCCAACTGTAAAGTCTGGGGGAGGAATAATGGTCTGGGGCTGTTTTTCATGGTTCGATCTAGGCCCCTTAGTTCCAGTGAAGGGAAATCTTAATGCTACAGCATACAATGACATTCTAGACGATTCTGTGCTTCCAACTTTGTGGCAACAGTTTGGGGAAATACCTTCCCTGTTTCAGCATGACAATGCCCCCGTGCACAAAGCGAGGTCCATACATAAATATTTTGTCCAGATCGGTGTGGAAGAACTTGACTGGCCTGCACAGAGCCCTGACCTCAACCCCATCGAACACCTTTGGGATGAATTAGAACGCCAACTGCGGGCCTAATCACCCAACATCCGTGCCCGACCTTGCTCTAATACTCTTGTGGCTGAAAGGAAGCAAGTCCCTGCAGCAATGTTCCAACATCTAGTGGAAAGCCTTCCCAGAAGAGTGGAGGCTGTTTATAGCCGCAAAGGGGGACCAACTCCATATTAATGCCCATGATTTTGGACTGAGATGTTCGATGCGCAGGTGTCCACATACTTTTGGTCATGTGTATATTTAAGTTTTAAAATGCCCGAGAAGCCGGTGTTTGGAGGATATATTGGCATCGATGTTCGTCTCGGGCCGGCAAACCGTGCCAATATATCCTCAACACCGGATACGGGTTACCAACATATTCAGAATGATTTTCATTAATGTTATTTTGATTAATTTATTCATACTATTTCATTCTTCCACAAGAGAGAAACTCAGCAAAAAAATAAACGTCCCTTTTTCAGGACCCTGTCTTTCAAAGATAATTTGTAAAAATCTAAAATAACTTAGCAGATCTTCATTGTAAAGGCTTTAGACACTTTCCCATGCTTGTTCAATGAACCATAAACAATTAATGAACATGCACCTGTGGAACGGTCTTAAATACACTAACCGCTTACAGATGGTAGGCAATTAAGGTCACAGTTACTTAGGACACTAAAGAGGCCTTTCTACTGACTCTGGAAAAACACCAAAAGAAAGATACCCAGGGTCCCTGCTCATCTGCGTGAACGTGCCTTAGGCATGCTGCAAGGAGGCATGAGGACTGCAGATGTGGCCAGGGCAATAAATTGCAATGTCCATACTGTGAGATGCCTAAGACAGTGCTACAGGGAGACAGGACGGACAGCTGATTGTCCTCGCAGTGGCAGACCACGTGTAACAACACCTGCACAGGATCGGTACATCCGAACATCACACCTGTGTGACAGGTACAGGATGGCAATAACACCTGGCCGAGTTACACCAGGAACGCACAATATAATAAATAAATAATCCCTCCATCAGTGCTCAGACTGTCCACAATAGGCTGGACTGAGTGCTTGTAGGCCTGTTGTAAGGCAGGTTCTCACCAGACATCACCGGCAACAATGTCGCCTATGGGCACAAACCCACCGTCGCTGGACCAGACAGGACTGGCAAACAGTGCTCTTCACTGACGAGTCGCGGTTTTGTCTCACCGGGGTGATGGTCGGATTCACGTTTATCGTCAAGGGAATGAGCGTTACACCGAGGCCTGTACTCTGGAGCGGGATCGATTTGAAGGTGGAGGGTCCGTCATGGTCTGGGACGGTGTGTCACAGCATCATCGGACTGAGCTTGTCATTGCAGGCAATCTCAACGCTGTGCGTTACAGGGAAGACCTCCTCCAACCTCATGTGGTACCCTTCCTGCAGGCTCATCCTGACATGACCCTCCAGCATGACAATGCCGCTAGCCATACTGCTCGTTCTGTGTGCGATTTCCTGCAAGACCGAAATGTCAGTGTTCTGCCATGGCCAGCGACGAGCCTGGATCTCAATCCCATTGAGCACGTCTGGGACCTGTTGGATCGGCGGGTGCTGGGTAGGGCCATTCCCCCCCAGAAATGTCTGGGAACTTCGCCTGGCATAACTTTTGCTCTCACTAGGATACTGTTCAGAGGAGCTAGCCAACTACGCAGCTAACACAATCACAAACTGAAGCTGGAAAGACTGCATTTTGTTTAGTTTGACTGGTTTTTCTATTGACATTTTATTTTGTATATTCATAAAAATGCTGATTCATGATTTTGACTGGCTGCGAAAAGCTGCCTGCCTGTCTCGTCCCGACTCCTGACACGTTCATTACTAAGGGACAGCTGGAGATCAAATTTTAATGTTGCAAATGTCAGACAGACAGCCAGGTTTATACACATTTCTGCTGTTGAAAACCAAATGATTTTCTTAAATAAATGGGAGATAATGTTTAGACGCTTTTTACAATAGAGATCAAGTTCATAAATTGCCTGGTAGGGCTGATGAGACCGTGGATTGCACATTGAGATGGAACAGTGACTAGGCATTTCAAAGTCATAACCTTAGCCGGTGTTAACTTGCGAAATAGACACCGGCAGTTTTAACCAGTAAGCATCCAGGATTATTCCCACCCATTTGTATAAATAACCCATATTCATTATAAGAGGAGTGCACTGTAGTTATTTATTATCATTACTATCAGCAGAGATCCAGGCTATTCCTAGAAATCCTCTACACTGCTTTGAAGCAGCTTCGGTGGGTTTGACGTCCTTCTACAAGCAACTGAACTCAGGCCTATCATGTTCCAAAGTCATTTATAACATGATTCCTAGAAGCTTGTCTGAGATTCTTAAAGTTGTTATTGACTTCTGTTCATACTAGTGGTGGTGGGGGCAATACAGTAATCGATATCTCTACTCTATTTTATGCGTAGTCTGTTTTTTTTGTCCCCATTTCTACAGACTCTGGAAACTAGAGAGATCCTACATTTTCACTACACCACCTGGCCTGACTTTGGGGTGCCCGAGTCTCCAGCTTCCTTCCTTAACTTCCTGTTCAAGGTGCGGGAGTCTGGGTGCCTCAACTCTGACCAGGGGCCTGTGGTGGTGCACTGCAGCGCAGGCATCGGACGATCAGGAACCTTCTGTCTCGTTGACACCTGCCTCTTACTGGTCAGTACTGCATTGGGAATCCCATTCGAAATGTAAAACTTTATTCCTCCCACAAGGGGGAATTGTGCAAATGTGGTATTGAGCATGAGTTGTGCAGACACACATTTCCAATGGCTTTATGAAGAATCATGACTTCATGTTAAGTGATTGTCAGCCTACCCATTGAAACTTGCTGTGAAATATCTTTTTGCAGATGTCCATGCGCAAGGACCCGTCGTCTGTGCACATTCGTGACGTGCTGCTGGAGATGCGACGCTATCGGATGGGCCTGATTCAAACAGCTGACCAACTCAGATTTTCCTACCTCGCTGTTATTGAAGGTGCCAGGTGCATCATGGGAGATGCATCATTGCAGGTAAGTTGAATCTCTTTTAGTTTCTGCCATGAACCAAAGTGCTGTAGTAGGTCATGCACGCACATACAAATTGGGTCTCCGGTGTCTCTAAAATGTCTTTGCCTTGTGTAGGTTTATTTTTTTTTTTCAGGAAGAACTCGTTGGCCACTTTTTATACTTGTCCTCTAATGAATAATTTAAAGTAGGCCAATTGGGTCAACTGTTTTATTTGAAAGGTTTGGATTTGCGAAGCTCTAACTAGATGCAGATGTCTCCTCATAATGTATGGAGAAAGGTCATATATATATTCTCTTCTCTGTAAAAGCCTATTAATGTTTAAATAATACCCACATCAATCCATAAATGTTTACGTTAAGGAGTCGTGGAAAGAGCTCTCCAACGAAGAGGACGTTCCTCCAGAGTTCACCCCTCCCCCGCCCCGTCCCCGTCCTCCAGGTCCATCTGTCAACGGCACGGTTGAACCCATCTCATTCTTTCCTGAGATTGTTGTTGCACAGAATGATTCCCACACTCGCAGGTAAATAAGGCCAGCTCAATTAGATTTCTAGCAGTCTAGACTTCATACATGCAATATTTAATATCACTCTTCATTCTTCTCCCCCTGGAATATCTCTCCCATTGCAGTGCCCCATCAGAGACTGCACTGCGATGGAGGGGAGGTAGTGAAGGCGCTACCGCCCAGTCTCAGTCTCCCACTGTATCCGCTGATCAACCTGATGGCCAGGCGGGAAGCAAAGAACCAGCTCCCAAAGCTTCTACGAAACCCCACCGGCTGTATGAGACAGAAACACAACAGGGGTTGAACCAGGACCAGGCAGCAGAGCAGGCAGCGGGAGACGTTAGCCCTGAGGCTCTGGGGGCCTGGACCCCCCTGCTGGCCAATGTATGCCTCTGCACGGCCCTGGCCCTGGGTGCTTATGTCTGTTACCGGGCCTGTTTCCACTGATCTCCTCTACCCTCCTCCCTCTCTTGCTCCTCCCTTTCTCTTGTCTGTTTTTTTGCAGGGTGAATTAGGCTGGCCAGCCGGCTCTCTCTGCCTATGGTTTTACTCTGCTGGCTGGGCAAGTGGATAGTTTGGACTTCAGAAAATCGATTTGATTCAGACTCGCTTGTTTTCTTTATAAATGCAGACAGGGGTATGTGAGTGTGGGAGGAAGGGACTGCCCCCTTCCCTTGTCACCTACCGTAGCTCTCGTATGAACTGTCAGTTTGGACGCTCAGGGCCTCAATTTTCAGGTATCCCATCCCAAATACAGGTGTTGATTGTCAAAACAAATGAGTAAACACATGTTTCTGACCGTCAGTAAAGGAAGGTGTGCGTTTGTTCCTGTGTTCCGTGAGTACTAGTGGTCCACCCTACCTAGACACATGCACCCTCTAGTCAGTTACCAAATAACACGCAAATGTGTTCTTCCATTTCAGCCTTTGCAAAAAAAATCAGTTGGCTATTCACCTTTCTCTCCCAAATAGTCCTTTACAGCTGTTCAGGAGGAGTTAGTGCTTGGTTTGTGGCAACCCTGCAGTGCCAACATAATGAATTGCAGCAGAGACGTTAGTGAAAAAACAACCAAACCTGAGATGATGGGGCAGTATTATACCCAGGAGTAAGCTGAGGCTAGGGGGTGGCCACCATCCAAGGGGGACACTGCACTCCACTCCTTCCACTGGATGAGGGATGCATGCAGTGGGATATTTACAGGCCATAGGAGAGCTCCCTACCACTGCCCTGTTTAGGGCTTTTTGGCTAAAGCTACAGGAGGCACACTGTACGTGTGTTAAGTGTTATCTGAGCTTTCTACTGATGCATGATTTCTATCTGCTGTCTTAGTGGGAAATGTCACAAGCAAATAAGTTATATTTGAAATATATTCTAGATTGTTTCCTGGTTCTTGACCCTGACCCCCACCACGTATTAATTTCTAACTTTACATTTAAACAGGAGTGTCTAGTTGATAATGTGCTTTGAATGGAAGTGCCGCACGCATGTATCAAGCTGTTTTTTTTTGTTGCCTAGTTTGAGGTGTTGCGTTCATATTTAGCCTGTTTCAAAAAGTGTACAAATGTCATATTTATCTATCTTCTGGCTAAAGTCTTCTATAAAGAAGTCTCCAATGATTTTGCAACAATTTGTTTAACCTATTAGATATACAGTATCATTCAGGGATAGTGACTTCTTGCGGTCCCCACATTGGATGAACAATGCAGAGGCTTTTCATGCTAAAGAAACAAACTGGGAGAAATGCATCAGGTGAGCATTGCATAGTTATTAAATGTGTCTAGAGCAGGCATCTGAACACAGGAGGCTGCATTAACGCACACAAATGCCAGCTCAGCCTACTGTATGGAGACACAGGCAGCAGCTAACCCTCATCTGCCTTTATTTTCCCAGCCTCTGAACGATAAACCCATCCTGCCTGTCTGGACAGGGAGCCTGGGATCTCAAACCAATTAACAAACACCAGCACAGGGATTAAAATGCTGTAATGGTGATCAGCTATGGCCTGGGCTGTCAGTTTTAGTTAACTTCTTCCACATAGACGTCCTGCAGTTGTGAATAAACAAGTTTTTCATGAGATTAGTTCAGCTGCTAGCATTCAGTTTACCTTAGTGACTCAAAGAACTATGTATATCCTGAGTCAAACGGCTGTAACTTTTCTCTAGAATGTATGAAGTCCTACCCACGGACGTGCCCTCTTGATACTTTTTTCAGATCAGGTTTCATTGTGCTGACTTTTTTTATGCATTTGCAAGTAATGATGAACTCACAGTACCTACCTGGGCAGCTTTGTTTGCCCAGACGTCCGTTTTTCTGTACTTATGCTCACCATTTTGTATTTTATTTACATCCATTGTAGTCCTTTTTTAATAAAAACAAATATACTGCTGATTTGTTATGGTTTTTAATCGGAGTCATGTTTAAGATTTTATTGTATCAGACAGAATTCTGAACAAAGGCTGTTTTTTTCCGACCTGAAGATCACTGACGTCATTTGACCTAATTTTTCCGAGTTCCCAGTTGTCTTGAACGCACCATCAATATTTTGTATGAGATTGAATGATGATCATATTTGTCACTAATTTGAAAAGGACATTACAAGAGTTGGTTTCAAGACAACTGAAATCGGAAAAATACGAGGTTAAATTATGACGTCGGTATTCTTCAGGTCGGAGCTAGAATTCAGAGTTGGATTACCGTTCAAAACGATTTTTCCCATTCGGAGCTGTTTTATTCCGAGTTCCCAGTTGGTTTGAACGTGGCAAATATCCTACCTCAGAATGGTAATTGAAGCTATGCTCAGTCATACAAAGGGAGTGGACTGATGCGCAGAAGATGTTACATCTCTGAGCTGCTGCTTCTCCCACGAAGACCACGATGTACCAATAGCCTTGATAGGGTGAGCTAACCCTCTCTGTCCCTCAGACATTAAGCAGCTGAATCTGTAGGATATAAAGTGTCCAGCATACAGCTAAATGACCTATTGCATGACATTTGTGTACTAATTCGATTTAAACGGCTCATTACATTTTAGTCACTTAGCAGACGCTCTTATCCAGAGCGACTTAGTTAGTGCATACATTTTTCATACTGGCCCCCCGTGGGAAACGAACCCACAACCCTGGCTTTGCAAGCGCCATGCTCTACCAACTGAGCTACAGGGGACTCCTCAAATGTATTTGTAACATGCTTCGTAAGGAACAGCTGTAGACTAAAAGGCGCTACATGGTCAATGTGATGTTTGCAGTGGCCATAGAGCATTTACTGCGGTGTGGCCTCTATAGAAATTAGAGCAAACATACTTTTTGCGCTTCGTGGAGCAGAGCTGTTGTCAAGGAAGTGAGTTTGTTTTTATACAGGACCCCGCCCTCACATACTGTCAACCAATCATGTCAATGCGGAGCTATATGGCGCCCTCGGCATTGTTACAAAATTTGAGCGGAGCACAGCAATGCGGAATGGAGCTTGAGTTGGCCTCTGCATGCCTTTGGAGGCTCCGCGATTGCGTCACACCCGAGATACAAAGCCTCTGATTACATTTCGGATCAAGCATAAGTTGGCTTTAACAGTGAAACGCTTACTTATAGGTCATTTTCCAGCAATACTGAGTTACAGATAAAGATAACTTGACCATTGACCGGTAAAGCTGACCTGACAAAATAGATTCCATTTTCATTGACAAATGTTTTCATTTTATATCTATTATTCACTGTGATGAACTTGGTAGGCTATGTGTCTATTAACCATACTGTGCAAGACCAGTGTTTTGAAGTTGCCACAAGGGGGCTCTTTAGAACACACAAACAGCTCAGGTTTCAACGGTTTCCTTGTGTCATCATACAAGCTTATGACTCACATACCTGGGCACATAGTGTACAGTATAACCCACACTTTGCTGTTTTCTGTAATTGTACTCATCAATAATGATCTGTCTCCATATATGTATCCTTTTTTTTAAACCACTGTTATGGATCTGACTCATGTTCAGAATCTTATTCTCGGGCTGAGCTCTGAACAGATAATACATTTATTGTGTCAACAATTAGTGTTTCTGTATTTTCCCCTTTCTCCATTAGGATACATATTGGCAAAGCATTTTTATTTGTACAAGGATACATCTACAGTTATTAGATTGCATTAAATTGGCTTTTCAAATCAAATGTTATTCGTCACATGCTTCTTAAACAACAGGCGAAGACTAACAGTGAAATGCTTACTTGCGGGCCCTTACCAACAATGCAGAGAGAAAGAAAATAGAGAAATAATAGAAAAGTACACAGAGAGTAAAGATAACTTGGCTATATACATGGTGCACAAGTACAGAGTCGATGTGCAGGGGTATGAGGTCATTTAAGATACAGTGGGGAGAACAAGTATTTGATACACTGCCGATTTTGCAGGTTTTCCTACTTACAAAGCATGTAGAGGTCTGTAAATGTTATCATAGGTACACTTCCACTGTGAGAGACGGAATCTAAAACAAAAATCCAGAAAATCACATTGTATGATTTTTAAGTAATTAATTTGCATTTTATTGCATGACATAAGTATTTGATACATCAGAAAAGCAGAACTTAATATTTGGTACAGAAACCTTTGTTTGCAATTACAGAGATCATACGTTTCCTGTAGGTCTTGACCAGGTTTGCACACACTGCAGCAGGGATTTTGGCCCACTCCTCCATACAGACCTTCTCCAGATCCTTCAGGTTTCGGGGCTGTCGCTGGGCAATACGGACTTTCAGCTCCCTCCAAAGATTTTCTATTGGGTTCAGGTCTGGAGACTGGCTAGGCCACTCCAGGACCTTGAGATGCTTCTTACGGAGCCACTCCTTAGTTGCCCTGGCTGTGTGTTTCGGGTCGTTGTCATGCTGGAAGACCCAGCCACGACCCATCTTCAATGCTCTTACTGAGGGAAGGAGGTTGTTGGCCAAGATCTCGCGATACATGGCCCCATCCATCCTCCCCTCAATACGGTGCAGTCGTCCTGTCCCCTTTGCAGAAAAGCATCCCCAAAGAATGATGTTTCCACCTCCATGCTTCACGGTTGGGATGGTGTTCTTGGGGTTGTACTCATCCTTCTTCTTCCTCCAAACACGGCGAGTGGAGTTTAGACCAAAAAGCTATATTTTTGTCTCATCAGACCACATGACCTTCTCCCATTCCTCTTCTGGATCATCCAGATGGTCATTGGCAAACTTCAGACGGGCCTGGACATGCGCTGGCTTGAGCAGGGGGACCTTGCGTGCGCTGCAGGATTTTAATCCATGACGGCGTAATGTGTTACTAATGGTTTTCTTTGAGACTGTGGTCCCAGCTCTCTTCAGGTCATTGACCAGGTCCTGCCGTGTAGTTCTGGGCTGATCCTTCACTTCCTCATGATCATTGATGCCCCACGAAGTGTGACCTTGCATGGAGCCCCAGACCTAGGGTGATTGACCGTCATCTTG